GCAACAGAGCAAAACTCTGTCTCAAAAAAGAAGAAGGGAGAAGGAGAAGGAGGAGAAGGAGAAAAAGAAGCCCCCAGAGCTTTGCAGAGGTGGAGCCCAGGAATCAGCATAAACAATAAACACTCTGGGTTAGGTCTGGTTAAGGGACTGAAAATCATGCTGCCCATTTCAAATTTTGGCACTACCATTCACTAGTACTTAGGCAAGTCCCTTAACTTTGCTAAGCCTCAGTTTCTTGGCCTGTAAAATGGGGATAATAATGGTTCCTACATTGTAGGGCTGCTATGGGAATTAAAGGAAATGAAATAATGAAAGTGAAGTGTCCAGCACAGTGCTTACATGGACAGATGTGGACGACTAGTATCACATCTGCATTCTCATCCCCTGGGACTTTTGAGAGAGGCAGAGCCTTGAGGTCCTGCTTCTGCAAGGGGCCCTGATTGGGGGTGGGAGGCGGGGGTTGCGGGGAGGTGGTGCTCTGGGAAGCAGAAGCCTTAGCCAGGCAGCGCCCTCACCCAGGACCATCTGCCACCTAGTGGCTGGTGTGTGGGACCATGCCCAGACCTCCTGCCTCCACCCCACTGAGATCCATGGCCCAGCTGGCCAGAGCTTCCACCCTGTCTCCTGGGTGACACTGGCAGCCTCCCTCCCTGCCCCTCTGCCCTGAGAGCCTAATTGGCTTGGCATCAGCTCTGGCACTTCCCTCCAGCTTTGTGATAAAATAGGTGGCTTAGGTCAGATTTCCCCAGCAGGGAGGCTACGTGGCACAGATTCGGGAGGCAGGGAGGAAGTCTGGGGAAAACAGCTCCTTCGATGACCACCAGTTGCAACCTGGTATTCTCAAGGAGCCACGTGCTCTCCAAACTAGGTGACCCCCAGGAAGGAACCCTATGTACTTGTCTTTCTTCCTTTCCTAGTCCTTCATTATTCATTAATTCCAATGCACTTACAAATGCATGCATTCATTCAATATTGAAATGTTTACTATATGCCAGGTGCTCAATGGTGATCACCAGGAATTGGCAAAATTTTTCTTAAAGGGCCAGCTAGCAAATCTTTTCAGCTTTGTGAATCAACCTATTCTGCTGCTGAAGCAAGCAAGTAGCTATTGATAATAATGTAAACAAATGGGTAGGTGTGCCTATGTTCCAATAAAACTGTATTTGTGGACACTGAAAAAAATTTTTTTTGAGACAAAGGTCTTACCCTCTTGCCCAGGCTGGAGTGCAGTGGCATGATCATAGCGCACTGCAGTCTTTATGTCTCCAAACTCAAACGATCCTCCCACCTCAGCCTCCTCAGTAGCTGGGGCTACAGGCATGCACCACCAAGCCTGGCTAATTTATTTATTCTTTTTTTTTTTTTTTTTTTTTTTTTTTTGTAGAGACAGAGTTTCACCATGTTGCCCAGGCTGGTCTCAAGCTCCTAACCTCAGGTGATCCACTCACCTTGTCTCCCAAAGTGCTGATTTTACAGGCATGAGCCATTGTACCTTGTGGACACTGAAATTTGAATTTTATACCATTTTCATGTGTCATGAAAATATTCTTTTAATTTTTTTCCAACCATTTATAAATGTAAAATCTATTCTTCTCTTGTAGGCCATACAAAAGGCAACATCCAGTGGGCCATTGCTTCCCAGCCCTGAGCCGAGTCCTCCATGAGCAAGACCATGGAGTGTGCTACGCCCAGTGAAGTGTGCAGGCCAGTATTTCCAACAGGGTCCAGACTTCTGGAGAGCCTCACTGGGGAGGAGGGGGCACCTCCAAGCCTACCACAGCTCAACCACTGCGGCCCTCCCAGACTCCGCTCTCTCAATGCCACATATGTTCTCCATGGCTTACATACAGGGACTCCTAGGTCTCCTTTACAATCAGAAGCCTTTTTGAAGGCAGGAACATTTCTATTCACGCATTTAGAATCAGAAGGGACCTGAGTCCAAATACCTGCCTGACCACCCCTTTACTGAATGGCCTTGGATGAGTTACTAAATATCCCTGTGCCTCAGTTTCCTTATCTGTAGTTCCTCTCTCATAGGTTATTGAGACGATGGAGTACACGCATGTACAGTGCTCAGACAGGTGCCTGACTGAGTCACTGGTCAGTGTTTGTGGATTCTCCTGACAGTTTCTTTTTCCCCACCCACCCCAGAACCCAGCATGGCTCTGGGCTCTGGGCTCTGCTCAGTCCCTCCTTGCCAAGTGTTAACTTCCAGAATATGAGAAAAAGTCCCCTGATTCCTCACCCAGGAGCCCCACAGAGTCCATACCTTGGGGTCCTAGAATGCTTTGCCCTTTAGACTTAGCTTGGAGCATTTCCCCTTTGGCTTCTTTGCCTCTAGAAAAACAATCATTTCTTCCCTTCCAAACCAGCCTACATGGATGCCAGGCTTAGGAGTGTGTGCACATGATGAACTTGTGGCTAGTTCTCTCTGGTAATGGGCTGTAGAGGAGGAGACTGTTTGGCTGGGAATAAAGGAAGTGGGATCCTACCTCACCTGCTGGCCCACAGTCCTGGGGGTGGGAAGGCTGCGCAGGTCCAGGTCTTTAGCATCACAGTCATTATGCCAAATACCTGGGCCCTCCAGCACTTTGTGTAATTCTCCAAGTACACTCCTCCCCAGGTGGGTGCCCAACTCACTCCTTCTAAAACAGCACCCCTCTCTCTTTTCCAAAGCCTCTATGATCTTATCTGGTTTCATTCTTTCACAGCACTTAGCCCATGTGAAATTTTATTTGTTTATTACAGTTTTTTTCAGTTTCCCTTTCACTAGAATTTAAGCTTCTTGAGGGCCAGACTTGTCTGATATAATCCTTATGACTTTTTTTTACAGGACACGTAATATCCCTATTTAACAGCTGAGCATACTGAGGTCACCCTGTCAGTGAGTGCCAGAATGAGAATTCAAGGCCAGTTCTCTCCGACAGTCAAAAACTCACATTCTTGGGCCAGGCGTGGTGGTTCATGCCTGTAATTCTAGCACTTTGAGAGGCTGAGGTGGGCGGGTCACTTGAGTTCAGGAGCTGGAGACCAACTTGAGCAACATGGGGAAAACCCATCTCTACAAAAATCACAAAAAATTAGCCAGGTGTGGTGGTGTGCACCTGTAGTCCCAGCTAATCAGGCGGCCAAGGTGTGAGGATCACTGTGCGTCAGTACAAGAGCCTTGAGCCCAGGAGATAGAAGCTGCAGTGAGCCAAGACCATACCACTGCACTCTGGCCTAGGTGACAGAGTGAGACCCTGTATCCAAAAAAAAAAAAAAAAAAAGAAAGAAAAGAAAAGAAAAGGAAAATAAGAGCTCACATTCTGGGCTTCCACACTAAGAGTTCATTTCACCCGACAAAATGGGTAAAATGAGCTCTGTCTTGAGGCTTTGAGTTCCACAATCTGCTTCCAGTAGCTATAGCAGCAGTCATGTGTCAGGAGGCATTTACAGGAGCCCTAGGAATGTTCTGTACCACTACTTCAGGAGGCAAAACCAGGCAGGCTGCACTCCTGGCCTCTCGGAGCTCATGGGCTGATTATATAGAGACACATATTCTAGTCTTTCTGCTATAATGCAGGTTGCACTAGGAGCTAAAAAGGGGTACAACGTACTTTAGGGGTACTGTCTTAATTTGCTTGAGTTGTTGTAACAAAATACCATAGACTGCGCAAGTTAAAAAATAGAAATTTCCTAAGCCTGGCATCCATGTAGCTGGAAGCCCAAGATCAAGGAGCTAGCCAGTGTGGTGTTCGTTAAGTGTATGTTGGGCACTTTACATTTTACAAAGCCTTCTTTCTAGTTGCCGACAGCTCCCTGCTTGCTGTATCCTCGAGTAGTAGACACAGAGATCATTTTTCTGACATCTCTTTTTATAAGGACACTAATCCCATTATGAGGGCTCCACCTTCATGACCTAATTACTTTTCAAAGGCCCCACCTCCTAATACTATCACACTGGGGATGGATTAGGCTTCAACATATGAATTTTGAGGGGACCCAAACGTTTAGTCCACAGCAGGTACCAGCTGTGGTTGGCCAGGAAAGTCAGGACAGTGTGGTCTGGGAATGCAAGGGTACTGTCAGGGAAGAAGATACTTTGGACAGAGAGGGTGGAGGAGCAAAGGCCAGTGAGTCACCGCCTGTTTGAGGACTGGTAAGGGCTCAGAATGGCGATAGCCTAGACAGTACTGGGAAGGGCAGTGATCGTGTGAAAGGTGGTAGAAGACAGGCAGTGGCCAAATCATGTCAGGTGTAAAAGTGATGGGGAAAGACTGGGCTTCCTACAGCCTGCGTGGTAGATAATAAGAACACAGAACAGCAGCTGATTGTGTATGTTGGGTGCTTTACATTTTACAAAGCACTTCCAGTCCTCCTTCCACTCTGCCCTCAAAATTTCTAGCATACAGGCAAGAGTGATAAGTTTAGGATCAGGAGCCTGGCATCCACTCAGTCAGGAAACAAGTTGCATAGATTCGAACAAGTCACTTCCCATCTCCGAGACTTCACTCATCTCTAACAACAGGGACCAATTCTCAGACCTTCAGGAAGGATTTCACAAAACCATACACGTGATAGTGCAGTATTTAACTTCTGGTTCTCAGTTCTTTCTCTGTTAAACGAGGACAATTCCTGTCCAGCCTTATTCAGAGGGGCTGTGGCTGTGATTTTGTAAGCAAAGGCCAATAGTAAGAATCTTTTTAACAGGCCAGCGAGAAGTTTGTTCGCCTTTTGGCAGATGAGGCCAGGGAAGTTAGGGCTTCTCGGTTGGTGGCTGAAAGCCTCAGAGAAGGAACTTTGGCTGCTTTAACAGTATCTCTTAGTACTCGCCTCAGTATTTAGTTTATATGGAGATACGGGGAAGAGAAGGCAGGCAGCACACAACCTACAGACATAAAAAGAGCCAGCCACCCTAACAGACGGCCCGAGCCCGGTCCACTTAAAGGGCCAGAACGTCTCTGCCCCGCCCCCCGTCTCAAGACCACCAATCAGAGAGCGAGCCGCTCCGTGACGCCATCTTATCGCGACTGAGCAGAGTGGCGGCGGCGTTTCCTGGAGTTTGAGCCTGGCGCCGAGGCTATGGGCAGCCAGGAGGTGCTGGGCCAGGCGGCCCGGCTGGCTTCCTCTGGTCTCCTCCTGCAGGTACTCTCTGCCCGTCAGGCTCCAGCTTGTACCGCAGCCGGGATTCGCGGGATGGCAGCCCTCGGGCCCTTGAGAGCCTGCCCCAGGGCAAACTCAGTCCCGAGGTGGACCCCGCAATGAAAGGGGGGGGGGTCAGTCGGAGACGGTGGCGGCGGTGAAGGGAGCCTCTGGCCCGGAGATGGGAGCTTGTGTTTTAGAGTCTAGGCTGGGTGACTGCGGACAAGCCGCTTTCCTTCTGAGCATTGTATTAACCATATTAGCAGTAGGAGTGAATTAGACCAGGTGACGGGGGTGAGGGACTGGTATTTCGGGCTCGAGTATGTGATATTTTTCAGGCAAGGGGTTCCTTTCCTTCATCAAACACCTTTCTCAAACACTGAGTCCCACTGAGTTCCGAGAGATCATATGGCATAGCTAAGAACAGGAATCTGGGCTTAGACAGCCTTGGATTGCTTCGTGACCCAGGACGAGCGAGTTCACTTGTGGAGCCTAAGCTCTTCACTGATAAAATGGGGATAATATGTAGTACCTAACTCATAGGCAAAGATTAATTGGGATCATTCAAATAAACGTACTTAACACAGGGCCCGGCTCTTAGTATGCATTTAATACATGCTGGCTGCATCTTCTGCTTGTGTGATCTTGGACAAGTCACTTCCTTTCTTGGCCCTCATTTTTGTCATCTGTCAGATAGGATATATGCTAGTTAGTCCAAATGGTATCTAAAGATTCTTTGAACTCTAGGAGCTGATCCTTTTAAGTCAAGTGGCTCAGTATGTCTCTGTCTCACTCTTGAGCCAGTCAACCCTACTTCACACAAGTCCTGAATCTGCCCTCCCCTTTATCTTAAGAGAGGCACATTAGGGCAGAAGAAAGAACCAACCAGAATTTGGGCGTTGTCACTTGCTAGATGCCTGCCTTTGGGAAAAAATCCCAGGACTTCTGTGAATATCAGTTTCTTCTTCTTAAATGAGAACAATAGTGCAACCTCACAGTCTCAGGAAGATTAGATGAAATCACGCCCCTTAAGTACGTAAATACCTGGCACATTGCAAGCACATAATAAATGCAGTTATTTTTATTAGGGTAATAAGGATTTTTTTTTTTTTTCTTTTTGAGACTGATCGTTGCCCAGGCTGGAGTGCAGTAGCGTGATCTTGGCTCACTGCAACCATCATCTCCCAGGTTTAAGCAATTCTGCCTCAGCCATGTCTGCTGGTTTAAGCAATTCTCCTGCCTCAGCCATGCCTGCTGGGATTAAAGGTATATGCCGCCACGCCCGGCTAATTTTGTATTTTTAGTAGAGACAGGGTTTCTCCATGTTAGGATGGTCTGGAACTCCCGACCTCAGGTGATCCACCTGCCTCGGCCTCCCAAAGTGCTGGGATTACAGGCGTGAGCCACTGCGCCCAGCCGGTATAAGGATTTTTTAAATAGTCAATGTAGGAATAAAATGACATAACCTATAGAAAGCATGTTGAAGAGTGCCTTGCACGTGATACGTGCTTAGTAAATGTTAGCCATTCTAAGTTTACCTAGGTTTTTTTTTTCTGTTTCACAGCATAAATGAATTTAGTGCTTTATCCACAATGTTGATTTTTTTTTCAGACTTTGATAATATCTTGCTACCCATATAGGCTTCATAAAACAAAAACAAGTTGTAGTGGAAAACACTGGACTGTGAGTCAGGTGGCCTACCTGTAAGGTCAAGCTGGGTCACTTGCTTGCCATGTGACATTAAGGAAACCACTTAACCTCCAGTCTTGCTTCCTGTGCATATACCTGATTGTTTTTAAGTGTCAAATAATTTAACAGATGTGAGAGAGCCTTTTTAAAATTGTAAAGTTGGATGGACGCAGTGGCTTGTGCCTCTCATCCCAGCACTTTGGGAGGCCAAGGCAGGAGGATTGCATGAGCTCCGGAGTTAAAGACCAGCCTGGGCAGCATAGTGAAACCTTGTCTCTCCAAAAAATACAAAAATTAGGCAGGCATGGTGGTGCGCACCTGTAGTCCCAGCAACTCAGGAGACTGAGGAGGGAGGATCTTGAGCCTGGGGGATTGAGACCAGAGTGAGCCGTGATAATGCCACTGCACTGCATCCTGGACAGTCGAGTGAGACCCTGTCTCAAAACAAAAGCTGTAAAGTCCTTTGCAGAAGTAAATGAAGACTGTGTTGCTAATAAGGGCTACAGTGTGTGGCAAATGCTGAGTGGCATGAGCAACCTCAGCTTCATTCGCTTCAACCTTTATTCAAACCAATTAGGAAATACGGATTACTAATTAGGAAATAGGAAACATTAAGCTTCTTAGACAATGATAACTTTGAGGTGAACGTAAGTGTATACACATAGTTTCTTATTTTTGCTTTTTGGTTTTGAGATGGAGTCTCACTCTGTTGCCCAGGCTGGAGTGTAGTAGCATGATCTCAGCTCACTGCTGGCTCTGCCTCCTGGGCTTAAGCAATTTTCCTGCCTCAGCCTCCCAAGTAGCTGGGATTACAGGCGCCTGCCACCACACCTGGCTAATTTTTGCATTTTTAGTAGAGATGGGGTTTTACCGTGTTGGCCAGGCTGGCCTCTAACTCCTGACCTCAGGTGATTCTCCTACCTTTCAGCCTCCCAAAGTGTTGAGATTACAGGCATGAACCACTGTACCCGGCCCTACAATCTCTTCTGATCCTTATAATCAATCCTATGTGATAGGTCATCTCATTTGACAGAGGACATTGAGGCTTATAACAATTAGAAAATAACAGATCGGGGCCGGGCGCGGTGGCTCAAGCCTGTAATCCCAGCACTTTGGGAGGCCAAGGTGGGTGGATCACAAGGTCGAGAGATCGAGACCAACCTGGTCAACATGGTGAAACCCCGTCTCTACTAAAAAAAAAAATACAAAAAATTAGCTGGGCATGGTGGCGTGTGCCTATAATCCCAGCTACTCAGGAGGCTGAGGCAGGAGAATTGCCTGAACCCAGGAGGCGGAGGTTGCGGTGAGCCGAGATCGTGCCACTGCACTCCAGCCTGGGTAACAAGAGCGAAACTCCATCTCAAAAAAAAAAAAAAAAAAAAAACAGATCGAAGAGTCAAAGAGCTAAATGGTGAATAGTACTTTTAGTAGTGGTGGGGTTTCACAATGTTAGTCTGGCTGGTCTCAGACTCCTGACCTCAGGCAATCCACCTCCCTCGGCCTCCCAAAGTTCTGGGATTACAGGCATAAGCCACCATGCCCAGCCGTATCTGCATGTTTCTCAGGAGCAGCTACAGAGCTGTCATCAGACTCAAAAGATCACCTTTTACTCCATAAAGGTTAAGATGGTTATTTCTTGGCTTTGGAGACCTTGCTGCTCTGTGACACTTTAGATAGAGTGTTATACACTCTCCCTGTTTAGTCATACCTGTCCCCAGAGATTTTCAGTCCACAGTAGTCCATTGATATGCCTAGATCAAATCTTCCAAATTGCAGGTCTTCACAGATAACTCTGAGGGTGTTTAACACAGAGGTGATTTTCATTTGCTGCTGGGATGCAGGAGGGAGTCATTCAGTGAATGAGGTTTGTACTCTTCCCAGCATCCCCATTTAGCAGCCCTGTTTAATTACAGTCTTCTTGTTCTCTGTGTCTCATGGGGAAAGTTCTTCGCTTAGGTGGTTTTCTTGAATTGACAGGTTGGAAAGTCTCAGGGTATGTCCCTTTCAAGTGGCAATAACTGGACTCTGTCTCTCTTCCCCCCTATGTTATGCTATCTTAGTTTTGCAGCATCATTTAAAGGGTATTTCAGCTTCTCTCTGGAAAGAGACAAGAATTCAATAAAAATACATTTTCTGTTTTCTAATTGAGAAAACTGAAGTTCAGAACAATTAAATGTCATTATTGAAATTCCTAGATATTACGAGGCAGAGAAGAAAGGAGAAATTAGGCCCTATGATTTATGGTGAGTCTGCTATACCCTTAAGGCTCCCACTTGCTTTTTTTTTTTTTTTTTCTTTTGTTTTTAAGGCTCTCACTTGCTAAGTGTGTGCTATTTCTAAACAGGGCTGGCAGTTGGGGGTTGGCTAGCAGGCTGGCACTGACTAGAATTCTCTTTCTGCTTCCTCAAGGGCTTGACTTTGAACCTGTAGAAACTCAGTGAGTCTATCCTTCTTGTTATTAATAAATTAGGGAGCCTTCCAAGTGCCTTCCTAGGTTCTTTGACCACTGCACAGGAGTGCTGAGAGATCCCAAGGAATGGAAATTCAGGAGAAATGCATACAGGTTGAGCGTCTTAGAGGAGAGTCTCTGTGACAAAGCTGCTGTGTGTCATTATATCACGTTAGGAAAACCAGCACATTGTTCTCATTTCAGCAAAGTAAACACTCCTAACGTCATTTATTCTTATGTATTTTTCTTCTTTTTCTATAGGTGTTGTTTCGGTTGATCACCTTTGTCTTGAATGCATTTATTCTTCGCTTCCTGTCAAAGGAGATCGTTGGCGTAGTAAATGTAAGGTAGGAGAGGCACCCTGGCACTGTCACAGTTCACATTCCTAGCCAGCCTTTCTTCAAACTCTGTACCCATGTGTCATCCATTTTAGAAGCATGGACCTTTACCAGCAGCAGGATGTTTTAGCAGTGGGCTGAGGAGAAGCGTGCCGGGGTGAAGGGATGCACAGGCACCATTGCTTTTCATGGACCCATGGAGTGTTTTCCATTAGCAGCCTCCAAATGCACATTTCTCTGCCAGCTGCTCTGGTTTTCCTGCTCTTGGAACTCAGGAAGGAGAAGAGTGGGAGTCATTCATTAAAAACTCCCCCTCAGGTATAATCCTATGTTCTTGTCCTGCTGACAGCTAAGGAAGCAGAAATTCCGCAGTTCGTGACGATGCGCTTCATAATTGCAGGGCTGGAGCAGCCACCTTCCTTCCCTTCCTCAGTGATTTTATAATTGGGATACGGCAACTGGGATCCGAGCTTGAGTCCTTGTCATTAGTTTTTTGGAGGCTCTTGGAAAGACGACTTCTTTGTCTTTTAGACTCAGCTTATTTCTTCTACTTGCCTCCTTTCTGTTCAAGGACACCCACACATATTTTGTCTTCACAAATGACACAAAGTATATAAAATGATGTGAGTGCTCAGAATAGCTCAGCTTCTCAGGTATGTCTTTATGTCCTGATAAATAAGACAGTATGTTCTAGAAAGCATTTCATATCTAATACCTACCAAACATAGGCTCTTGGCGAGGGTCTCAGAGCTTAGTGGCAGGACTCAAGCTTTGAGCAAAGGAATCATCTGTGGAGTTTTGCACTACATAGTGCTGAAGAAAGGCCCAGAAATCTGCATTTTTACAAGCTCCTTAGGTGATTTTGAAGCAGGGACCATTCTTTGAGAAATGCTGTTTTCTTTTTCTCGTCTTCACCTTCTTCTTTGAGACAGTTTTTGCTCTGTCACCCAGGCTGGAGTGCATTGGCGCCTGTAGCCTTGACCTCTTCGGCTCAAGCAGTGTTCCCATGTCAGCCTCCTGAGGAGCTGGGACTACAGGTGTGCATCACCACACCTGGATAATTTTTTTATTTTTTGTAGAGATGATGTCTTACCGTGTTGCCCAGGCTGGTCTTGTACTCCTGGGCTCAAGCGATCCTCCCACCATAGCCTCCCAAAGTGCTGGTATTATAGGCATGAGCCTGAGAAATATAGGTAATGGTCCTAAGAAATACTGTTTTAAAAGCAGGAAGGAAGTGCCAAATTCTCTTAGGGCCTTAGAGGCAGCCTGCATAAGATTGACAGGTCCCTGTTTTGACAGCCCTTGTCTGGCCTGCCCTAGCCCGCTGCTTAAGGTTTGATTCCGTCTCCTTATTTGCAATGTTCCACAGAGGCACTGGGTAGCAGGATAATCCTTGAACAACCTCAGAGACCTTAACCCTGGGCCGTCCCCACTCTGGCTTCATCCAGACTGCTGCCTAATGAGGAGGGGACATCTTAGCTATTCCTTGCTAAGGTGCAGGGAGGTTCACCCAGGTGCTGCCCACCTGGGAGGTACCCAGGCAAGCCTGGCTGACCTGGGTTGCAGCAGCCTCTGTAATGGTTGTCAGCCTTATTGCCTGTCTTAACATTCTTTTTGCCAGAGCCTCCATTCGGTAAAGGCTCAGCTTTTCTCACAGGGGCTATCAGTCCCTCGTGTCAGTGTGACCAAGAAGGGTGGAGTTATAATCTTACCCTCTTCTCCTCCTTGTGGTCATGGCCACACCTCTGCCTATAGCCACAAAAGGTACAGGCTTTTGAGGCGACTGCAGCAGTTTCTATCCTTCACGTAACTGTAGGCACACACCCTCACATATCTTTCATTTGGTTCCTAACTCAGTAGTTCTCATGGATCAGACCCGTAGGGGGTCCTTTATGAGCCCACTGCCCTCCACATCACCACCAGTGATTTATAACCAAGACTTTATCTCCTTCCTGTTGCTGGAAAAATCCCAGAAGTTCTCTCTGCGAAAAAACTTGAGACCTTATTGGTTTCTGCCTTTCATTTACAGACTAACGCTGCTTTACTCAACCACCCTCTTCCTGGCCAGAGAGGCCTTTCGCAGAGCGTGTCTCAGTGGGAGCACACAGCGAGACTGGAGCCAGACCCTCAACCTACTATGGCTAACGTGAGTTGTGCTTTGGCAAGAGACACATTTCAGGAAGGCAAGTGTAGTGAGCATTGGAAATGAAACATTAACACGGGGAGAGTGTTTGTGTCAAAGAAGCTTCTTGGCTCATTTTCTTTCTGATGTCTTAACATCAGAAAGAAACATCCAGGAGCCAGGAAGGGGTTCTGGGTTGAGGTTTCTGGGCCTGGTTTCTAACCCTGATTCCATCCTCTTTGGAGGTTGTTTCTTGCTGTTTTGATTACCACTCTTGGGTTCCACTTGGCCTGTGCCATCTTTTTTATTCCTAATCTTTTTGCTCTGTAATATCTTTTGAGCTTTTAACAACCACTTAGATTTAGTATTTCTTGAAAGCCTTTTATGGGTTTTATTACGTTTTTCCTTCAATTTTGTTATGTTACTTCAGTTCTGAGTCTTTTAGGATATTCTCGAAGATCAAGTACATTAGCTTAAAATTACATTGGCTTTTCTCCAGCTAGCTCCCTGCAGGGAGGGCTGGGGGTTGAGGTTGTTTCCCAATGCTGCCCTTGCATCACTCCTGATTGCCTCACAGAAATGACTGTCATGAGGGCTGGTAGGTGATCGTTTTATTAGAGGAACAACTGGTAACTACTCAGTCATATTTAAGTGCCCTATGGTGCACGTGGGAAATATGGGAAAGGATACTGAGCACTGCTGTATTGATTATTTGGGATGCAAGGAACAGCTGTATACAGTCCATCAGTCATTTTGACAACAGGTGTTTTCTTTCTTGGAATTTTGCTTCTGGAGTCAGTATGTGTAACCCAGTGGCTAGAAGTATAGGCTTTGGAGTTATGGCAGGATTAGGTCTTGCTTCTGCTCTTGATTGCTGTTCATGACCTTGACCAAATTGCCTAGTGCCTGTGAGCCTCAGTTTCCTCATCTTTTTATTTTTATTTTTATTTATTTTTTATTTTTTAAAAAATGGGTTTCACCATATTGGTCAGGCTGGTCTCGAACTCCTGACCTCAGGTAATCCGCCCACCTCAGTCTCCCAAAGTGCTGGGATTACAGGTGTGAGCCACTGCGCCCAGCTTCCTCATCTTTTTAGTGGGGAGATGACAGAGGATCATTGTGAGGTGTCAGTGAGATAAGGGGTATGAATCAGTACCTGGCATGTAGTTAGTATCTTAATAAATAAATGGTAGCTGTTTGTATTATAACTATTTTTTTTCTGTTCAGTGTTACTATTTTAATGTATATTTATATTTGTTTTAAAATTTACTGAATTATTTTTTTCTGCTCTTCCAGAGCTCCCCTGGGTGTGTTTTGGTCCTTATTTCTAGGCTGGGTCTGGTTGCAGCTGCTGGAAGTGCCTGATCCTAATGTCGCCCCTCACTATGCAGCCGGAGTGGTGCTGTTTGGTCTTTCGGCAGTGGTGGAGCTTCTAGGAGAGCCCTTTTGGTTCTTGGCACAAGCACATATGTTTGTGAAGCTCAAGGTCAGTGCGCCGTCTGCTGTTAATGGGAAATGGGAAGAATAAGAAGGAGCGTTGTTTTTAAAAAATGCTTTTATAGGAGAGAATGATTTTTCCAGACTTGCACCTAAAAATGTGTTTAGAAAAATGTAACATAATCAGTTAAGTTCAGCCACTTGAAATTTGTCAGGTAGGCTAGGCTAAAGTTCACCACTGTTTTATCATAAATAAAAAACAGGTTTGCTAATAAATTATTAGTTGAAGTCAGAATTTAGAAGGACCTTAAAGGCTTTTTGTGTTTCTCTGGTGATTTTATGTAGTTGCATACTAATACTAATTTTTTTCTCTTCATCTTTTATAATAGATTACAAAAGAATATATATAATGTAAATCTTAAAGCAGAGTATACTGAAAGATCCATGAACCCGCCACCCTACCCAAGAAGTGAAATATTACCGATACTTATTTCTAGCTGTGTGCCCCGCCCCCATAGCCAGGGTAACCACTGCCCTGGATTTTCTGTGTCTTTCTATTACATCTTGACTTTTTGATAGTGTTTGTAAACTGCACCTTGACCATGTTTGCAGGTGACTGCTGAGAGCCTGTCGGTAATTCTTAAGAGTGTTCTGACAGTTTTTCTCGTGCTATGGTTGCCTCACTGGGGATTATACATTTTCTCTTTGGCCCAGGTAAGAATCATGGATTTTATCTTTTTATATGATCTTTGTCTCTCCAACTGGTTTTTCTTCTTGTTCCCACCGCTGTGTGGTTTGCATTTACAGCACCCATGTGCAGGGGGTGGAAGCGCCACAGGGGTGGCTTTGACACTGCTTCTCTGGCTGCCAGGTCTATCCTGTTCCACACATTGAGACCATAGGTGTTTCTTGGAACCTGGTGAGGGGCCACATGCTGGACTTCATTGTCAAACATTAAAAACCTCTTTTAGACATTCAGTGGGCAAGCCTGTATCAAACTGATCTTTGGTCGTCTGCTACTCTTGTGAAAGGGAAAAAAAGCAGTGGGAAAATAATCACATTGCATGTGTATTATTTTCCCTGGATTTCCATCAGTTTTTTGCAGAATAGGTGGAAACTCTGCCAAGCCTGTTTTAAACTTAGATTGAAATCTCCTATAATTCAGAGTTCGTGAATCAAGTCAGAGTAGGTATATTTTTGGTTTTAGCAATTTAGGCTTCATTTCCATCTCATTATTTCCTAGTTCTCGTTCATATTTCTAGTTCTAATAAAAATATAACTAGAGTACAACTGCTATTTTTAAAAATGAAATTTAAGATCAGATAGTTACCAGACATCTTACAGTACAAAGCAGTTGTAGTTTTCATTAATGATTTCTCCAGACTTGCACCTAAAAATGTGTTTAGAAAAGGTAACATAATCAGTTAAGTTCAGCCACTTGAAATTTGTCAGGTAGGCTAGGCTAACGTTAAAGATAAATTAAGATTCTTAGTAGTGATTTAAGTCAAGGGTACTTCTCACAGAGGACACTGGCACCAAATGGTGTGGCTCACAGCAGTGCTGCTGGAGTTTGAAGGTCTTGGAGCATGAAGAAAGAAGGCTGATGGATGATGGGCTCCATCTCAGGCTTGGTGGGGAGTGGAGAGCAGAGGAGCCCACACCTACTAAACTGAGACTCTTCTTTCTCCTTGCCTGGTGCCTTTTCTATAGGAGCAGCTTTGGTATTGCCAGGTTGAAAGCAAGCTGGAGGTCCCAGTCTTTCTTGAACCAGTGTGCACTGCTGTCAGGAGGCAAAGAGGGCTGAAGGGAGCTTGTGAAAAGGGGCTCTTTTGGATTTTCCTCCTCCATCTGCAAACAAAACCCATTTGGCTGCTCCTGGCCAGAAGCCATTCTTTTGTCCTGGATGGGTGGAGGGAGGGGTGGGCTCTGTTACCACCCCACCCTTTCCTCCCCCATCTGTAGTAGGTCTTGCACTGGGGAAGAGGAGAGAGCCAGCAGTTCAGTTGTGCCTTGTAATCATTAATAGCACAGGTTTCCGGGGTTTATGGAAAACCCACAGTCCTAGATGATGGCAAGTCCTTGGATATTAGCGCAGTCAGGATATGTGGATCTTTGCAGTGTGCTGACTAGGTGGGAGAGCCGTTCATTTGGCCAAATACACATCTTTTGCAAATGTATTGGACATCGCTGTGGTAATTGAGCTAGTGGATAACTGTTATGGAAATTACATTCTGCCTGCCCAGAAGGATTATGTTCCCCCATTTAAGTGAAGTCTTGGGAGCACTTTACAGGCAGATGCTGCAGTGGAGGTAAGTGAATAGTGCTGTTTCCCAGAGGGTGAGGCATTGCTGAATAGAAAGTGCAGTTTCGGCTGGGCGAGGTGGCTCGCACCTTTACGTAATCCCAGCACATTGGGAGGCCAAGGCAGGTGGATTGCCTGAGCTCAGGAGTTTTCGACCAGCCTGAGCAACATGGTGAAACCCTGTCTCTACTAAAAAAATACAAAAAATTAGTTGGGCTTGGTGATGTACACCTTGTAGTCCCAGCTACTCAGGAGGCTGAGGCAAGAGAATTGCTTGAACCCAGGAGGCAGAGATTGCAGTGAGCCAAGATTGAGCCACTGCACTCCAGCCTGGGCGACAGAACGAGACTCTGTCTCAAAAATAAAATAAAGAAAGTGCTGTTAATCAGAGAGTTATATTACTTGATTGGCCTTTGAGATCAAATTTATAGGCATATCTTAATTATGCCTTTATTAAAACAGTTTATTTTTTTTATCAGCTTTTCTATACCACAGTTCTGGTGCTCTGCTATGTTATTTATTTCACAAAGTTACTGGGTTCCCCAGAATCAACCAAGCTTCAAACTCTTCCTGTCTCCAGAATAAGCGATCTGTTACCCAATATTACAAGAAATGGGGTAAGTAATACATTTTATCTCTTATCATAGGTGCTGCTTATCCTCTAGAGAAAGAAACTGCAACTGGTTTATTGTTGTAATCATAAATATAATTTCATAGCTCATATTTATGGAGTGCTTGCTGTATGCCAGGCCAGGGTTTCTAAATCTTAGCACTGTGGACATTTTGGGCTGCTCAATTCTTTGTCAAAGGGGCTGTCCTGTGCATTTTAGGATGTTTAGCAGCAGCCTAGTGGGTAGATGCCAGTTGAGATCCATTGTGCTAGACCCTGTGCTGAATGCTTTACCTGCCTTATTTAATGCTTACACCAACTCTGAAAGGCTGACACTGTTTGTTTTAGAGTTGAGAAACTAAGGCTTAGTGAATAAAATACCTGTCCTAGGTGAGGGTCAGGATAAGGACAGGAGCCTGGAGGGGCTCACATGCCAGCAGAGTGTAGGCTGTACCACTGTGCTCCATTCTCTCTAGTCTGTTGTGATTTTGGTTTTTCTCCTCAGTTGACTTCTAGCACAGATATTTGAGAATTCTGAGAAAGTAGGATGAACCCAACATGGTCGTGTGTGTGTGTGTGTGTGTGTGTGTGTGTGTGTGTGTGTGTTGAGACAGTGTCTCGTTCTAGAACCCAACATGGTCGTGTGTGTGTGTGTGTGTGTGTGTGTGTGTGTGTGTGTGTTGAGACAGTGTCTCGTTCTATTGCCCAGAGTGGCATGATCATAGCTCACTACAGCCTGACCTCCTGGGCTCAAGTGATCCTCCTGCCTCAGTCTCCCAAGTAGCTGGGACTACAGGTAAGTGCCATCATGCTCAGCTAATTAAAAAAAAATTTTTTTGAGAGAGAGGGTCTCACTATGTTGTCCAGGCTAGTGTTGAACTCCTGAGTTCAAGTAATCCTCCCACTTCGGCCTCCCAAAGTGCTGGGATTATTAGCCAACACACCCGGCCCCACATGGTCTCTTGATCTCAGTGTCAGTCAGGTGATATACTTGTCCACCTAGACCACTGTGGGTTCTACAGCTGACATGTGGAGTAAAGCATCATCTTTGCTACTCAGGTCCTTCACTTTCAGGCCATTGGACTTTGATTTTCTGGCCCCTCTGGGGTCAGTGCTGCTGCCTATGCCACTGGAGTTGTACACATGATGATGTTACCACGTTGCCTCTACCAAGATGCTTCGTGAGCTCCTCTATTCTGGCACTTCCCTTCTTTCCATGCTTGTTTGCTTGCCGGATGTAGTGCACTTGGCTGTGGTAAGGCATATGTTGGATTTCTCCTTATTTCTCTTGTGATACTTGAAAAAGTAGTGAAATATGTGAGACATAAGGCTCAGACTTTACAGAATCCTGTTCAACTTTTCAAGAAAAACTAGATATTATGTATCAACGTCAGATATGTTCTCATTTGTGAGGAAAGGATTCTCCATTCTGCTCAGCTAAATTTCACCTGTAACCTAAACCAACAGGACATTTTGGATACTACTGTGCCTTACCTACAGCCTTAGATGGTTAGGACTCACGATCGCTTCTCTTGCCTAGAGCTTCTGCCACCTACCCCCAGGGCAGTTTCAAGAGTACAGAAGAGTTCTTCTTCCCCTGAGTGCCCCCTGGTGCCCACCTGTACCAAGCCTGGCAGCTTTTCATACTGGGCCTGTCCCTGTGCCCCAGCAGTATTTTGGGAAGGAGCATTTGAACCATTAGCATAAGAAGCAAAGAGAGAAGGTAAAGAGTCTGCCAAGTGTCTGTTAAGCTCCGTGGTAGCCAACCTGAGCAACATGGCAAGACTGTCTCTACAAAAAAAATTTTTTTTAATTAGCCGGGTATGGTGGTGGGCACTTGTAGTCCCAGCTACTCAGAAGGCTGAGGTGGGAGGGTCGCTTGAGCCCAGGTTAAGGCTGCAGTGAGTCATGATTGTGCCACTGCACTTCAGCCTGGGCAACAGTGAGACCCTGTCTCAAATACATAAATAAAACCTGTGATGTGCTCAGAACTCTAAGCTTAGTTTCCTTATCTGTGTAATGGGGATAATAATAGTACCTCCCTCCTAAGGTTGTTTTGAGGGCCCGATGAGTTGGGACATATAGTCTTAACAATGTGGCCTGGCACAAGTGGGTATCCTTAAGTGACAGCAGATACCACCTCCATCACACTGATGCTGAGCTGCAGAGCTGCCTCCACAGGGGCACCCTCGCCAGGCAGCGCTGATGGCATTGGTGTGGGAGCTCAGCGGTTCAGTCTGGTAATATGCCCTGAAAGTACCGATGCCCAGACTGCAAGGACCCAAGCCCTGATCATGAGAAGGCTGTGTGTACCTGTCGTGTATAGTGATAATATTACCGCTGCCATACAGTAAGAAAGCAGCACCATGCTTGGTGCCATCGGTGATACAGACATGTAGGAAAGGTGATTCCTGGGCCTCAGGGAGCTTCCTGTGGGCTTGAGAGGCAGCAGGTATAGCTCTGAAGCCTGTGGGACTCTCCCCAGACTTCAGGGTCTTCATTTTTTAAGTGAGATTGTTGGTCTACGTGACCTGTGAAGCCCCTCTGAAGATTTCAGGAGTTCCATGAAAGTATTTGAACCTTGACTGAGAGCCTTTTACAATCACTGCTATTGACTGCGTGTTTTGTGCCATGCACTACACAAAGCACTTTACATGGATTTTGTGTTTCATTCTCTTAGTAACATAGGAGATGAATACTGTTATCTCCGTTTTGCAAATAAGAAAACTGAGGTTCAGAGGAGTTAAGTGACTAACCAAAAATCGCATAGCTGGTTTTGGACCCACTTCTCTCTGCCGTTTGCTGGGGACTAGCTTTAGGTTCTGGTTTACCCTGATGTTATGTAGTCTTTCAAAAGAAATTGGCTTATTGCCCATAGTAGTTACTGCTTACATAAAGATTAGGAAGTTCCAGGTGGAGCAATTCATAATTCAGGCTTATTATTTTAAAAAGAAAAAAAGAGGCCAGGTGTGGTGGCTCAAGCCTGTAATCTCAGCACTTTGGGAGACTGAAGTGGGAGGATTGCTTGAGCCCAGGAGTTTGACATCAGCCTGGGAAACATGGTAAGAACCCCTCTCTACAAAAAAATGTAAAAATTAGCTGGGCACAGTGGCACATGCCTGTAATCCCAGCTACTCAGACTGAGGCAGGAGGGATCGCTTGAGCCCTGGAAGTCGAGGCTGCAGTAAGCTGTTCATGCAACTGCCCTTTAGTCTGGGTGACAGAGCAAAACCCTGTCTCAAAAAAAAAAAAAAAAAAAAGGGAAAAAGGAAAAAAAGTAAAAGAAATGAGATGATTCTGAATGCATGAATACAGTGTATGATCTTACCATGCATGCCTGACGTGGCTCCCCGGAACAGCTTTCTACACTGGGGACTCCCTTAGTGGAAACTGGTCAAATAATTGTATTTACTATCAATTTGACCTCATTGTGAGATTTCCCTTCCTATTCTTTTAGAATTCCGTCTTCTTTATTTAACCTTATAACAAATTAATGATACTTCAAATAATGGCTTCGTTTATATTCATTGACATTTCTGAGGGTTTTAATATGAGAGATATGCTAATATTTAAGTAAAGCTGAGGAATTTGGCTCAGCAAGCATGTATTAAGCATTATTATGTGTTAAGCACTGTACCAGGTGCCCTGAGTGAGGCCCCTACCCTCAGAACTTGCATGGTGATAGACAGATAGGATGCTTGCTCAACTAACTATGCTACAGGACAGTGTGTGTCTAGCATTATCAAAATAGAAGCACAGAGGAAGGACTGCTGAATTCCATCTAGGAACATCAAAGAAGGCTTCATGGAAGAAGCTTCTTTTGTGTGGACTTTGACACATAGATGGGCAGAGGTTAAATAGATATGTGTGGTGAAGATGGGCATTTGTGACCAGAGAAAGAAAGAAAAGTTGCTCAGTGCTTGTTATCTGCCCATCATTGTGTTGGATAACTGGGGTACTTAGATTGGCTGGACAATTGGGAAAGGAAAGGAAAGGTGGCAGAAACTTACGAAGGCAGGTAAACCTGTCTGCCAGGCTAGGGTCAGGTGGTGGTGGCCTCATGCTGTGGAGCCTGGGCTTAATTCAGGGGCAGTGGAGCCAAATGAAAGGGTTTTTTTTTTTTTGTTTGTTTTGTTTTGTTTTTTCTGAGAACCCCCTAACCATGAAAGGTTTTTGAACAGCGCCATGATCGAACTTCCTGTATTGAGGAGCTTGCCATCTCTTGCAGAGTTACAGTGTCTCATTTTTTTGTTTTCATTCAATCCTCACACTGGCTCCACGAGATAGGACTTTTTATCCCATTTTGCAGATGAGAAAACCAAGGCTTAGTAAAGTATCTTGTCCACAGCATATACCCTAATAAGTCAAGGAGCTGCAGGTTGAGCCCCAGTCCCCAAGCTTGACTCCAAAGCCTGAACCTGCAATGAGAAGGATAGGCTAGAGAAAGAGTAGGAGACAAAAAAGCTCATTGGGAGCCTGTGCAATTGTCCAGGTGAGGAGTGAGGACAGAGGAAGGATGGATGAAAGTGGGAGGATGGACAAAGCTGGGGCAGCATCAACAGCCCCAGAGTGACTAGGATAGGTGGAGCAAGAGGGAGAGGAAGGAGTGCTGCGTAGGGTGGAGGAGGTGATGGAGGCCAGGGGACGGGATGGTAGGTAGCCTCACACTCCCCAGTGACTCTTGTCATTGTGGTAAGGATGTGGCTGATCAGATCATCCTGAGTCAGAAGAGTTTGGGAAGTTGATGAGTGACTCAGGTGGAAGTGTGATGAGCCTCTAAGTTCTGATTCCAGACCTTCCCCCGAGTTACCGTCCATCACCTTTACCACTCCAGCCTTCTGTTTCTCCACTTATTGGTCAGGGCATTCCAGGGAAATTCCCAGCTATGTAGATCAGCTCATCAGTACCAACCTAGCTATTGTGAAATAGGCCTCTTTTGATCGCCCCAAATGACACCTCCATTATTAACCTCCATTCTGAGTAGAATGGTAAAACTCTACCACATGCTTCCTCTCTCCCACCTCTCAGCCCCTGCCTGGAGAAGCCACATCTCAGATTGGATTTCCTGCCTCTGTGTCTTTAAAGAGCACTTTAGTAAGTGATGTGGCCATTCCTCCCGAACCACAGGCCCATTTAAACCAAAGGCATTAAGAAAATCAACTATGATCTCTCAGATTAGGTACACCATCATGATTTCACTCTCCTAAAGCGCTTTGTCTTTTAAGAGCTCAATCATCTTCCCAAATCCATTCACAACCTGCAGGCAAGCAGATGTCAAGGGAGCCTCATGACAAGCAGCCTTTGTTTCCTTTTAAAAGAGGACAGGTCCTGCTTTGCTGACCCCTGGGAGGACCACCGCAGCATGGCAAGGGGTGGGGAGCAGTGTGAGTGAGAGAGGTGCTGAAGCCGGCTGTGGCCAGAATCCGAGTCTGAAGATGACGTGGTCCCCTGTGCCCCCTAGTGGTGGGAAATTGTCTGCTGCTCTTTGTTCCAGGGAAAGGAGATGGCCTGGTTTTAAACATCTTGCAGCCCAATTTCCTTCTCATCAGGGAAGATTTACTCCTGGGCTAAAGAGGTATCCTGGCATCTGTTCTGAGTCTCTGATTCCCTGAGGGCAGCATAGTTTGGGAGGATTCAGATTTGTGCTCCCCGTGTCTGGAAAAAATGTTCAGAAACCAAGGAGTAAGGAGAATGGGGACTAGAAGTGACCCTTGCTTTCAGAGGTGCTCTAGACTTGACCTGTCCTACATGTGGCTATAGAGCATTCTGGAATCTGGATAGTCTGAATTGAGATGAGCTGTAAATGCAAAATACATATTGGATTTCAAAGTCTCAATATGAAAAAATTTCTTATATGGAATACTTGTTAAAATGATATTTTAGTTAAATAAAATATATTAAAACTAATTTCACCTGTTTTTTTTTCCTGTGCACTGTGGCTGCTAGAAAATTTCACATACATTCCTACTGAATAGCCTTGCTCTTCACAGATGGGCTTTGTGCCCACAACGGGCCCACATGACCAAGGCAGGCTTCAGGCCTGCCCTTGGGCCCACTTCCAGAGCTGTGGCTGACCTTTTGGAGAGGTAGAGTATGCTTGGCCTTTGTGATTCAGCCCTCCCCTCCCAAAAAGCCCTCTGAAATCCTACCATTCAAAAGTCTTCACTTGGCCGGGCGCGGTGGCTCAAGCCTGTAATCCCAGCACTTTGGGAGGCCGAGGCGGGTGGATCACAAGGTCAAGAGATCGAGACCATCCTGGTCAACATGGTGAAACCCTGTCTCTACTAAAAATACAAAAAAAAAAAAAAAATAGCTGGGCATGGTGGTGCGTGCCTGTAATCCCAGCTACTCAGGAGGCTGAGGCAGGAGAATTGCCTGAACCCAGGAGGCGGAGGTTGCGGTGAGCCGAGATCACGCCATTGCACTCCAGCCTGGGTAACAAGAGCGAAACTCCGTCTCAAAAAAAAAAAAAAAAAAAAAAGTCTTCACTTTAGATAATCACAACTTTTTAAAATGCAAGTACCCTAAGATTAAGAACCTAACATCAACGAGGCGTGATGGCTCACGCCAGTAATCTCAATACTCTGGGAGCCAAGGTGGGAGGATCACTTGAGGCCAGGAGTTTGAGACAAACCTGGGCAATGAAGCAAGACGCTTATCTCTAAAACAATTTTTTAAATGAGCTGGTCATGGTGGCACACACCTGTAGTCCCAGCTATTCTGGAGGCTGAGGTGAGAAGATGGCTTGAGCCCAGGAGTTTGAGGTCATAGTGAGCTATGATCACACTACTGCATTCCAGCGTGGGTGGTAGAGTGAGACCCTGTCTCTAAAACAAACAAAACAAAAAAACTTAACACCCAGTCTAAATATTTTGGGATCCCAGGGTGCCTACAAGATGGAGGAGGGGGCCCCAGAGGGAACTGTCAGAGGTAGAAAAATAGGAGTCAGAGGATACTGAGCCCCCTGGCTGCCTTGTTCTCCTATTTTGTGTTCAGCTCCCTGGCTTCGAGGCCACCTGTCTCTCACAGGTTGATCTCTGCCCTACCTAACTGTTTCTTTGTTCTTAGAAAATGGCCATTTGGTGCCCGCTGGAAGATAGATCTATCTATCTGTCTGTCTATCTTTCTATCTATCTTTGAGCCAAATTCTCGCTCTGTCGCCAGGCTGAAGTATGGTGGTGCCATCTCAGCTCACTGCAACCTCCGCCTTCCGGATTCAAGTGATTCTTGTGCCTTAGCCTCCCAGTAGCTGGGAATACAGATACGTACCATCACACCCAGGTAATTTTTGTATTTTTAGTAGAGATGGGGTTTTTCCCATGTTGGCCAGGCTGGTCTCAAGCTCCCGGCTCAAGCGATCCACCCACCTCGGCCTCCCAAAGTATTGGGATCATAGGCGTGAGCCACCATGTCCGGCCTGGAGTTTTAGAAGCGTCATATCAGAAATTTTATTTTCTCCATTCCTCTGTCATATCCATTCTGAGTGGTTTACCTGACCGGGGAAAGTTAATTTTTTTTTGAAATATAGAAGGGCTGCTCCTTTTTCCCTTGTCGAAAAGGGCCCTGGATGACTGAATGGCTGAACATAGCATTATGATGTGCAGTAGATGGAGAGAATTTGTTCTGCAGCTCGGCATGCTTTAGACAGTTTTTAAGGAAAGAACAGACTGTGAGCTGTTATGTGTTAACTGTGGGACAGCAGCAATTCTTTAGGGGTGTCAGTATATGAGTCTTGGGCAGGCCCTTACAGAATTTGGCTTTGTGTTTAGTAATGTAAATTCTTCCCCAGTGTTTGTGGGATGCCTTCTGTGTGCTTAGCATTGAATGAGTGTTCAGTGGAGACTATCCAGGTTGGGATTTAGGGATCAGAATGCCTTTGCCTCTCATGTAGCGTTGCATTCTTACACTTGCAATGCCTGTGTTGTTTTTGTTTTGTTTTGTTTTCTGTTCTAGGCTTTTATAAACTGGAAAGAGGCTAAGCTGACTTGGAGTTTTTTCAAACAGTCTTTCTTGAAACAGATTTTGACAGAAGGTAAGTACAAGGACACTCTGAATGGTCAGGAGACCGTAGTAGAAAGGGATTTCACAGGACTGCCAATTACCTGGGTCCAGACCACAGAGCCTCTGGGGCAGAAGAACTTCAGAAATGGGAGGACAGGGCTTAATACATAGAGAGAAACCAACCTCTATTTTGTTTTATGTTTTATTTAGGTTGTCTAATTTAAATCTCTCCATAGCCTTCTTTTTTTTTTTTTTTTTTTTTTCTCTCTCCATAGCCTTCTAAGAAAGATGTTGTTTCCCTTCATCATGGATGAGGAAACTGAGGGTCAGTGAGGTTGCAGAACTTCTTCAGGGTTTTACAGTAACAAGGAACAACTTAACCAGGATCCAGGTCTAACTCCAAACCTCATGTTATGTGATTCTTATGAATTTATTCTAAAAGTATTATATCAGTTACGTAAAAGTATTTTATGTTATCATTTTATATCATTCACTTATGTCATTTTATTTTCTTCTTTTTTAAAATTATGTCAATTCTCTAATGTTGGATTTATTTTCTTAAACAACAAAATGCACCCATTTGAGAGTATGGTCAGACTTCAGTCCTTCCAGTTTACCAGTGACAGAGCTCTCAATTGTGGAGGGCCAGCAAGGGACTGGAAGCACATTTAGTTTTTGTATATATATGTGTTGGTTTATTTGTACCTAGCTTTAATTTAAAAAATGAGATTTTAAGGCAGCTATAAGTTGCTGAAGGTAGTAGTTTCTCTCTGCATACACATTTCATATTCATATGCCTATTACTGAATATATTTTTAATCTTTTCAAAAATTATCTTTTAATTATCAAATATAGTCTCATTAAAAAAATATGAAAACAAAAAATAATACTAGCATTTTAATACAACTGTTATTATCTTAGCTCACTGCAACCATCACCTCCTGGGTTCAAGCAATTCTCCTGTCTTAGCCTCATGTATAGCTGGGACTACAGGCATGCGCCACTATGCCTGGCTAATTTTTGTATTTTTAGTAGAGACGGGGTTTTACCTTGTTGGTCAGGCTGGTCTCGAACTCCTAACCTCAAGTCATCCACCGCCTCAGCCTCCCAAAGTGCTAGGATTACAGACAGTGCCTGGCGTCTATTTGCATATTTGTTCATTATGTCTCCAAAGGAAAGCAACTCCCCCTACATCTCTCTTTCCCCATCTGTGAACAAGGGATAGGACCAGGCAGTGTCTATGGGCTCTCTGATCTTTGAAAGTTCACATGTTTCTAGCGTAAGCTTATAACTTTGCTATTACAAAAATGAAACTGTTCTGAGGACTTCTCAGGGAAGGGAGGGTCAGAAGTCTCAGGAGAGCTGAGTGAGGGGCCTGAGCGCCTCGTTCCTGAGGAGCAGGGAGTGTGCAGTCACCACTGCCCCGCTGTGACCTGGCATAGGAGGGCTATTCAGCATGTATTTGTGAATGAAGTAAGACAAGCCACAAGGTAACTGTTGCGAAATGGTGTTGTAATGACAGTTCAGGTTGTTGTAAGAACAGGACAATCGGTGGAGAGAGTTTTGGAAAGGACAGTTGCTCATATGCACTTTTTTTCCTTCCAGTGTTTTAAGAGCAGTTTTATTTGTTTTGTTTTGTTTTGTTTTGTTTTTTTGAGACGGAGTTTCGCTCTTGTTACCCAGGCTGGAGTGCAATGGCGCGATCTCGGCTCACCGCAACCTCCGCCTCCTGGGTTCAGGCAATTCTCCTGCCTCAGCCTCCTGAGTAGCTGGGATTACAGGCACGCGCCACCATGCCAGCTAATTTTTTGTATATTTAGTAGAGACGGGGTTTCACCATGTTGACCAGGATGGTCTCGATCTCTGGACCTCGTGATCCACCCGCCTCGGCCTCCCAAAGTGCTGGGATTACAGGCTTGAGCCACCGCGCCCGGCTAAGAGCAGTTTTAATGAGTTTGAGGGAATGGATCCAGTCCACGTGATGGCCTAAATTGGTTTTCTGGATTGCAGACAACACATCTCTAGACATGTCTTTGCATCAGCAGGTTTAAGTTTACTGCAAACTAAAACCTCCAGAACTCTACCTGAATCCAGTGCCAGGAGCCTGCTCCATGGTTGAACCCCCTAGCCTGGCTCCCTCTGACTGGCAGAGGGCCATTAGGAACTTCTCAGGGTGTCCATCTCCATGGCTATGAAATAAGGAAGTTGCCTGACTGAAATTCTAAGATTCTTTTTATTTTTAAAACTGCAGCTCTAAAATAGTTGAAATCCCCTGGGTTTTTTTGTTTGTTTGTTTGTTTGTTTTATAGACAGGGTCTCACTCTGTCACCCAGGACGAAATTCAGTGGTACAAACACAGCTCACTGCAGCCTTGACCTCTTGGGTTCAAGTGATCCTCCCACCTCAGCCTCCCAAGTAGCTGGTACTACAGGCAAGGCACCTGCCATCATGCCTAGCTAATATTTTGTTTTTTTTGTAGAGGCAGGGTCTTATGATGTTACCCAGGCTGGTCTTGAACTCCTGGACTCAAGCAATCCTCCTGCCTTGGCCTCTCAAAGTTTGGGATTATAGGCATGAACCACTGAGCTCACTTTTTATAGTAGCAAAAATGTATATGTTGTTACTTCTGCCCCCATATTTTCTGAACACTATGCCAGGTGCTGAGAATCCGGAGATGAATAAGTAACATGCTGTGGCCTCAAGCATTTCATTCTCTCACCAAAGACACGTTTGTGTGGTTAACTGTTCCTGGGCTGTGAGGGGTGTGGTACTTGGAAACTCATTTCCTAGAGCTTTGCTGGGAAAGCAGGGGCATAGAGATGACTGAGAGGGGCTCCTACCCTCAGGGAGTTTATACAGTGTAGGAAGGAGAGGTCTATTCTGCCAAAAGACAGGGAGGGTCCTGCAGAAAAGACACTCTTATGTGGTGAGAATGCCAAGAGCCAAGGCAGGCCCAGCCTGACTCAAAGCAGCTGGAGGGCTAAAACCTGGTAGGTAGGGTGCAGCAGAAGATGACAGGGTGATGAGGGTGAGGTTGATGAAGGGAGGCCAAAATGATAGCTTGGGGTCAGTGTATAAAAGCCCTCAAAATGATAGCTTGGGGTTAGTGTATAAAAGAATTAAGGAGCCTGGACTTTTTGAAAACTCTAAGAGCCACTGTGGCTCACACCGGTATCCCAGCACTTTGGGAGGCCGAGGTGGGTGGATCACCCAAAGTCAGAAGTTGGAGACCGGCCTGGCTAATATGGCGAAACCCCATCTCTGCTAAAAATACAAAAATTAGCTGGGCATGGTGGCAGGCACTTGTAATCCCAGCTACATGGGGGCCTGAGGCAGGAGAATCATATGAACCTGGGAGGCAGAGGCTGCAGTGAGCCAAGATTGCACCGTTGCATTCCAGCTTGGCTGATGAGAGAAACTCTGTCTCAAAAAAAAAAAAAAAAGATCCACTATGAAAGCAGGCCGGGCGCGGTGGCTCACACCTGTAATCCCAGCACTTTGGGAGGCCGAGGCAGGTGGATCACTTGAGGTCAGGCCAACATGGCGAAATCCCATCTCCACTAAAAATTTTTTTAAATTAGCTGGGCATGGTGGTGGGTGCCTGTGATCTCAGCTACTCGGAAGGCTGAGGCAGGACAATCACTTGAACTCAGGAAGCAGAAGTTGTAGTGAACGACATTGTGCCACTGCACTCCAGCCTGGGCAACAGGCTCTGTCTCAAAAAAAAAAAAAAAAAAAAAAAGAGAGATATGAAAGCAGAGACTGATTTAAGAGCTGTATTTTAAGCTCGGTGTGGTGGCTCACACCTATAATCCCAGAACTTTGGGAGGCCAAGGCAGGCGAATCTTTTGAGGTCAGGAGGCTGAGACAAGAGAATCTCTTAAGCCCGGCAGGCGGAGGTTGCAGTGAGCCAAGATCATGCCACTGCACTCTAGTCTGGGCGACAGAGCAAGACTGACTCTCAAAAAAAAAAAAAAAGATAGGAAAGCAGAAACTGATTTAAGAGCTGTATTGGAGGCTGGGCATGGTGACTCATACCTGTAGTCATGGTTCTTTGGGAGGTCAAGACAGGCAAATCACTTGAGGTCAGGAGTTCAAAACCAACCTGGCCAACATGGTGAAACCCCATCTCTACTAAAAATACAAAAAAAAAAAAATTAGCCAGGTGTGGTGGTGGGCACCTGTAATCCCAGCTACTCAGGAGGCTGAGGCTGGAGAATCTCTTAAACCCAGGAGGCAGAGGTTGCAGTGAGCTAAGATCACGTCATTGCACTCCAGCCTAAGTGACAGAGTGAGACTCCGTCTCAAAAAAAAAGAAAGAAAGAAAACTGTATTTGCAGAAGCTGGAGCTGTTGTCAGTGAAGGTGGATCTGAGCAATACAGAGACACAGGCCTGTGAGGACCTGCAGAGGTCCCACCATAAACAGTGGCAGGGGCTTGGAGAGAGCGGCAGCGTGGGAGAGAGTCTTGAGAGAAGATCCTCACTGCTTCCAGCCTCTTGCTGCTTTCCTTTTGAGCAAGTTGCTAGGAGGTGAGAATTTGCCCTTCAGGTCGTGGGCACTGTTTAGTGCTCCTTTTCCACAGTGGTCAACATTTTTTCCTCATAGATGAGAAACTTCTATGATGAGCCAGGGGGATGGGAGCCCTGGCGGATGTCTTCACCTTGAAGGCATTAGACTATCTTAGATTTGAATTAAGCCTGAGTTCGTGATTCAAATCTAAGATAGTCTGATGCCTTGCCAGCCCCAGGGAGCTCTTTGCACCCCTGAGGAAGCTTTGGATAAGCTTGTGCATATAATCATGGACACTTTACAGATAATTTATGCTCAGATTATCTGACCTCCCCTTAAAACTTGGGACCATCATTTTCATTATTAAAATTTAATTATTTCCACATACTTTTTTTAAAACTTATTTTTAAACTTGTTTTATTACTATTTTTTATTTTTAATTTAATTGGCTTGGAGATTTGCTGTCAATAAAGTCCTCAGCACTTTACAAATTGTTACTTTGAGATTATTTGAAATCAATATTAGGACAAGGACATGTCTTTAACTGTTATCTAACGTTCCTCCTTTATTTGTCAGCTGGAAAAGTTGATAGCTGATAAGAGAAAGAAAACAGTACATTAATGTGCATTTGACATGCTAATTATTTTGCTTTTTTGTTTATAGGGGAGCGATATGTGATGACATTTTTGAACGTATTAAATTTTGGTGATCAGGGTAAGATGAAATTCTGTAGTGTTTTAATTAAAGGTGAATACTATTAATAGGTGCTTCCTAATATTTTTCTCTGATATATTTAATGAAAGATGAACCTGAAGATTAAAGAAAATTCTAAAGACTGTAAATTGTAGTTCTTCGTACTGACTATACCCTCCAATGTGACTTTGGTGGCAGGTGTTCTGGTGAAACCCTGGCCCTTTAGTTCACCTCCTGAGAGCTCTGGTGGTCATTTTGGGGGTGGGAGGTGACAAGAAAGGAGAAGAAGGAGCTCACTGTCTCACAGCCTCAATCTGTCCCATGTTTATGTAGCTGGATAGTCTTTCAGTATTGTTATATTTATCTTTTAATATCCCAAAGTAACGGAAATAAAATAGAAAAACATCAACTTTGCATTAATGACCTATACAAGAAAATACTGTTGATAGAAGCATCCTGTGTCTTGACAGTATCAATGTTGGTATCCTGGTTGTGATATTGTACTATGGTTTTACACAGTGTTACCATTGGGTAAAGGGTATGTGGGATCCCTTTATTACTTCCATTTTTTTTTCTTTCTTTCTTCCTTTACTTAAATTTATTTATTTTTGAGACAGTGTCTCACTCTCTTGCCCAGGCTAGAGTGCAATGGTACCATTACAACTCACTGCAGCCTCAACCTCCTGGGCTCAGGTGATCCTCCAACCTCAGCCTCCTGAATAACTGGGATTACAAATGCATACCAGCATGCCTGGCTAATTTTTTCTGTTTTTGTAGAAACAGGGTTTCTCTATGTTGCCCAGGCTCATCTCAAACTCCTGGGCTCAAGTAGTCTGCCCACCCTGGCTTCCCAAAGTGCTAGGATTATAGGCATGCCCAGCCACTATTACTTCTTGTAAATCTGTATGAATCTATAATTATCTCAAGATAAATGAACTAATGAAAATATTAAATAAACAATTTTAATAGTGCTTTGAAAATTAAAGTAGAAAAAACATGATTGTTGTTTCTTCCTTTTTGTTTTGTAGGTGTGTATGATATAGTGAATAATCTTGGCTCCCTTGTGGCCAGATTAATTTTCCAGCCAATAGAGGAAAGTTTTTATGTATTTTTTGCTAAGGTGCTGGAGAGGGAAAAGGATGCCACACTTCAGAAGCAGGTAACATTGGTTCTTATGTCATCTCTCAAGTTAATTCTGCCTTTAATTGCAAGACAAGCAGACAGGAATGTGAAGCAGTCTGTTTCTCTTCTGTTTGATCAGGAATTTTCTTACAGATTTCATTCTTCTCTGACATTCTGTATGATAGTGAGACCCAGGGCTCCCCTCTTCATTTGTGGCCTTCTCCCTTTGCTCTTGGCTATCCCTTCTTCTTACCCCTTTGTTATTCTTTGTGACCTTACTCTTTTTTTTGAGATGGAGTTTTGCTTTGTAGCTCGGACTGGAGTTTAGTGGTGCCACCTCGGCTCACTGTAACCTCTGCCTCCTGGGTTCAAATGATTTTCCTGCCTCAGCCTCCCAAGTAGCTGGAACTATAGGCATGTGCCACCATACCCAGCTAATTTTTGTATTTTTAGTAGAGAGGGGGTTTTGCCATGTTGGGCAAGCTGGTCTTAAACTCCTGACCTCAGGCAATCTGCCCACCTCAGCCTCCCAAAGTGCTACCATGTGAGCCACGATGCCCAGCCATGTGACCTTACTCTTGATCCAGCCCTCTCAGGACTCTCTAAAGCTGTCCCCAGAGCCCTGCAGACACCCAGCCATGGGCTAGTCTTAGACATAAGAATGAGGTTGCCTCTCCTCTCCTCATAGTCTCAAGAGCCGAAGGATGCAGAAGTTGGAGCTAGGCTAATCGAGGGCATAGGGAGGAGAGGATGTCGTTGTTGGGTTTCACTCACCACACCAGTTGTTTTAACTTCTTCCTACTAGGACATGTTCAGCTACACTCTGACTGTGAGATTCTGTATACTCAGGCTGGTAGATACAGAAAAGGAGATTTTTTTTTTTTTTTTTTTTTTGAGACGGAGTTTCGCTCTTGTTGCCCAGGCTGGAGTGCAATGGCGCGATCTCGGCTCACCGCAACCTCCGCCTCCCGGGCTCAGGCAATTCTCCTGCCTCAGCCTCCTGAGTAGCTGGGATTACAGGCACGCGCCACCATGCCCAGCTAATTTTTTGTATTTTTAGTAGAGACGGGGTTTCACCATGTTGACCAGGATGGTCTCGATCTCTCGACCTCGTGATCCACCCGCCTCGGCCTCCCAAAGTGCTGGGATTACAGGCTTGAGCCACCACACCCGGCTAACAGAAAAGGAGATTTTAATCTAGGAATATTTGGTCTAGGAGCTTCACTTTTTCCAAAACCACTGAAAATGTCTGACTTTTCTTTTTTTTTTTTTTTTTTTTTTTTTGAGACGGGGTTTCACTCTTCTTACCCAGGCTGGAGTGCAATGGCGCGATCTCGGCTCACCGCAACCTCCGCCTCCTGGGTTCAGGCAATTCTCCTGCCTCAGCCTCCCTAATAGCTGGGACTACAGGAGTGCTAATTTTTGTATTTTTAGTAGAGACGGGGTTTCACAATGTTGACCAGGATGGTCTCGATCTCTTGACCTCGTGATCCACCGCCTCGGCCTCCCAAAGTGCTGGGATTACAGGCGTGAGCCACCGCGCCCGGCCGACTGACTTTTCTTAGAATAAAAAGCTAGTTCAGCTTCTTGCATGTCTTAGAAGATATTTAGTAAAATACAGTTTATGCACAGTATCTCAAAATTAGCTAATCTGGTGCTCAGTCTGATTTAGGAATATTTTCCTAAGAGGACATTGACAGTAACATCAGAATTTTGGGATGTTTAGCAGGAAAAGCACAGAGCTGGCTAGCATATAGGAAAACTTGCTGCACATTTAAGAATAAATATTAGTGGTCTGGTGCAGTGGCTCACTCCTGTCATCCTCATGCTTTGGGAGACCAAGGCCGGATGATTGCTTGAGGCCAGGAGTTTGAGATCAGCCTAGTCAACATAGTGAGATACCCTCCTCTATTTCTGTTTTTTTTTTTTTTTTTAAATAATAAATATCAGAAGGGAAAGTCACTGTTTCCTAAGCAATATTTGGAACAATTTATCCCAAGTGAATTGAAAACTAACCCTCTCCCTTACCAGCTAAGGAGACACACACTTTTTCCTTCATTTGCTAATTGACATGAAAACAAACACGCTACCAAAAAAGCAGTGATATCCATCACCCTTTTGGAAGAGTGAACTGTAAAGCAGTGAAGGAAGGCCAGAGATGAAGGGTGAAGGTTTTCTTCAGCTCATGATTCATCTAACTTCCTTCCCTCTCCCCCTGTCCCCAGGAGGACATTGCTGTGGCCGCTGCAGTCTTGGAGTTCCTGCTCAAGCTGGCCCTGCTGTCCGGCCTGACCATCACTGTTTTTGGCTTTACCTATTCTCAGCTGGCTCTGGATATCTATGGAGGGGCCATGCTTAGCTCAGGATCAGGTACGCACAAGAGTTTTTCTGAATCTGTTCTGATTTTCCAACAAATAGAAGAGTCATGAAATTCAAGAACTTGGGCACACACCGTTGAAAACTGTGTCAATGTAGGGAAAACTGGTGGCAGGGGCTGTGGGACTGTTCCCCTCATTCAAGTTCAGACACACACTCAAGGTGTAGGCAGGGGTGTTGGTGCCGGGGCCATCAGCTTCCCCAGCCTCACATGGAGAAGTTATTAGGACTCCTTGCTGTTGGCTTTCCTCTTGGGCCTAGAATATGTTTTGCCAAGCGCTTCCTGTACTCCCTATGGGGTGTGGGAGGAAGGCAGAGGGCAGGCGGTAATGAGTCTCCACTTGATACTAAACACATTTGAAGATAGTAAACGCCATATAAATCTCCCAGCCTGGTGCATAAAAGCCTCTGAAGGATAACCCAGAGCCATTTGCAGCGAATAAAATTGATCTCTGCAAATAAAATGGTATATTTAATCCAGACTCTCAGTTTTGAAGAAGAAAAGTATTGAATGTGTCTAATTTTGAAACACCAGGCTGCTGAGCATCTCACAGCACTTGTTAGGCCTTGGGGACTTCACCAGTTTTAAAATGCGCTGGGCTGTAAGCTGGCAGTCCATTTGTAGTGTTTCATGTTGGGTTTAGCAAAGATGTTTTTAATTTCTCAGGTCACTGGACAGGAACCCTGAGGACTTCTTTCTGCTGCCCCATCTCAATGTAAAGGGTTCTGTCAAATGCCATTTTACAAGTTCACTAGGACGTTTTAGTCTCCACTGTAATGGGGCCCAAACTTTTGGTGTTAGGGGAAGAAGGGCCAAGTTTATATACCAGAGCAAAGGTCATTAAGTTTGGAGAAACACCTGCTGTGAAACGAATAAAGGGGTTTGCAGCTCCCTGGGGCTTGTGCTGTGAGAAGAACATTTCCATCAGGCAGCTGCAGGGAGGCCTCATTAGGAAGGTATTAGTAAGTTTATGGGCAGAGATTGGGAACTCAACTATCCTGTAGCAGCTCTGCCCCCTTAGAAAGCAATCACGGAGGAGCCGCCTTTAATGTCACACAGTCGCCGGGCGCGGTAGCTCAAGCCTGTAATCCCAGCACTTTGGGTGGCCGAGGCGGGTGGATCACAAGGTCGAGAGATCGAGACCATCCTGGTCAACACGGTGAAACCCCATCTCTACTAAAAATACAAAAAATTAGCTGGGCATGGTGGCACGTGCCTGTAATCCCAGCTACTCAGGAGGCTGAGGCAGGAGAATTGCCTGAACCTAGGAGGCGGAGGTTGCGGTGAGCCGAGATCGTGCCATTGCACTCCAGCCTTGGTAACAAGAGCGAAACTCTGTCTCAAAAAAAAAAAAAAAGAAAAAGAAAAAAGTCACACAGTCACAGGTGTTGGCACAAGGAGGGGGCTGTCCCATCTTTATCATGACTCAGCCCCATCATCTTAGTTTTGAAAGTGGAACTTGCAACACTGCCATCCCAGGCGTCCCCAGTTGTGTACTTGTCTGTCTTCACCTGGAAGTGGACTTAACTGTGAGCTGTACTGGCCGTCTCCAAATGAGTGACTCAGACACAGCAGACAGGCCTTTGTCTAGGGGTGTGGCTTCTCTTCTACTCTTTGGGATTAGTGTATTTCATTAGGGGCTTTCTAAGTGTTCTGGAGGCTTTTCTTAGAAATGCTTCTCACACCTAGCTTTGCTTTTTCTTTTCTTTTTTCTTGATAACTCACAGAACAAAACCTAGCTTTTCTGTCCTTAAGCAAAACCCAAACGTTCACAGAATTTCCCCAAGATTTCTCACATTTCTCTCTTAGGTGCTTCTCTCTTGCCCCTCTACTTTTTCCTTTTTGCTTCTCTATCCCCTTGTCTTAGTTATCTATCCCCTTGACTTAACTAAGACATGTTAACATGTTAGGGCTTAGTTAATTAGGTACTTTACTGTGACCAAGTACCATGGACTGGGTGGCTTTAAACAGCAGAACATATTGTCCGTCAATTCTGGGGGCCAGAAGTATACAATCAAGCGATGACCAGGGCCGTGTTCTCTCTGAAGGTTCGATGGGAGGCCCCTTCCTGCCCCTTCTAGTTTCTAGTGGTTGCTGGCATCCTGGTGTTCTTGACTTGCAGCTGCAGCGCTGCGGTCACACGACTGTGTTCTCTCTGTCCTCACGCCGTCATCCCCCTGCACATGTCTGCCTCAGCGTGCAAGTTTCCCCTAACTTTTTGTTTTTTGAGACGGAGTCTCACTGTTGCCCAGGCTGGAGTATGGCGACACAATTTTGGCTCACTGCAATCTCTGCCTCCCGTGTTCAAGAAACTCCCACTTCACGGGTAGCTGGGATTACAGGCACCTGCCACCACACCCGGCTAATTTTTTGTATGTTTAGTAGAGACAGGGTTCTGCCATGTTGGCCAGGCTGTTCTCAAACTCCTGACCTCAGGTGATCCGCCCCACTTTGGCCTCCCAAAGTGCTGGGATTACAGGCGTGAGCCACTGTACCTGGCCAAGTTTCCCCTTTTTATAAGGACACCTGTCATATTGGATCAGTGCCCACCCTAATGACCACATTTTAACTCAGTTTTCTTGATGAAGACCCTGTTTCCAAATAAGGTCAGATTCTGAGGCAGCACCAGTCAGGACATCAACATATCTATTTTGGGGGGACAATTCAACCTAAAACACCCCTCAATTCAGTCTGCAATCAAAGGTTGATTCCATTCTTGAATTCCCCAAATGGATGTAAAACCCTTTACCTGAGTCACCGCTTTGTGCTGGAGTTTGTATTGTTCTCTGTGCCTTACAACAGCTCACTGTTCACCTACAGAGGGGTCCACCTGTGCCATTAGTGTTCAGTGGTAAGGAGGCTCCCCACTCCTCTGCTTCTGCCAGGGAGAGGAGGATGGGGAGAAGCAGGAGGCATACTTGAGCCACACTTGAGCATAGACTTTTTTGTGTGTGTGTGTGTGTTTTTAGTAGAGACGGGGTTTCACCATGTTGACCAGGATGGTCTCGATCTCTTGACCTCGTGATCCACCCGCCTCGGCCTCCCAAAGTGCTGGGATTACAGGCTTGAGCCACCGCGCCCAGCCTTGAGCATAGACTTGAGCCTCCCGGATGCAGAGCATGGTCCCTGCCTCCCTTTCTGGAGTCACCGTAGCTGGGGTGGTGGCCAGGCTACTTCCTGCAGTGGCTTGACAGGCCAAATGCAATGTGATGTGATAAACGTGGAATCCGAGACAGAGCCGTGGAAAATGGTTTTTTGTTGGGCATCAGGGCTGCCCTGTTAGTGTTCCTTTCATAATTTTATGACTGCCATAAAACTATTTAGGGTTCCCATTACGTGGAGATCTTTTATGTGAAACAGCTTTCATAAACCCTGAATGAGTTCCAGATTCTCAGACTCCAGAACTTCAGTCCCCCCTCCTTTTCTTTTAGTGGTTAAGTTTTTTTTTTCTTTGTTGAGGTATAATTTACATAAAATAAAATGCTATTCTCTTAAGAGTACAGTTTGATAAGTTTTGACAAATACGTGCAAAGAAACCCATATAATTACCAGCCAGATTCACATGTAGAATATTTCTATGACCCCAGAAAGTTCTTTTGGGACCCTTTCCAATCAGCCGCCCCACTCCACCTCAGAGACAGAGAAATCTGAAGAAATCTGATTTCTATCACCATGGATTAGTATTTCTTTTCAAAAGAATTTCATACCAGTGAAATGCAGCATGTACGCTCTTGCATTTGGTATATTTCCTTCAATTTAAAGTTTTTGAGATTCTTCCATGGTTTTGCATAGATAAGGGATTTTATTATCTTTTCTTGCTAAGTATTCCTTTGTATGGATGGCCCACAGTTTGTTTCTTCTTTCTTCTGTTGATGGTCAGTTTTGGCTGTTATGAATAAAACTGCTACAGATGTTTTGTACAAGTATTTTTGTGAACATGTGTGTTGATTTCTGTTGGATGTATACCTAGCGGTGCAATTGCTGGGTCATAGGTTAGGTGTATATTTATTAGGTGCTTGATTGTGGCCCCCTTAAAAGAGGGGAATCAGTCCCATTTGTAAGCCTCCTGTTCTCTGATTGGCAGATTTTTCCAAAGCTTGTTAGCAATAGAATTGCATTACTTTGTTTTAAAAGCAAATAGTTCTCACTTTGGATTTGTGTTATTTTCTGCTTGTCCTGGGCCCTGGGCCTTTCTTAAAGGTATTTTCTTCAGGATCTGCTCAACTGAGATTCCTTTAACATGCAGGGTCACTAGTGACTTTGAGTTCAAACTAGCAGGCCTATTCATGCTGATGAAAAAAGTGAACAGACTTGCTTACTAGCTAGATAAGCTTTTAGTTGTTCAGTAAGAGATGTGTACATTTATTCATAATTTTTTTTTTTGAGGTAGGGTCTTGTTCTGTCACTCAGGCTGTAAGTGGCACTATGATGGCTCACTGCACCTCTGACCTCTCCAGACTCAGGTGATCCTCCCACCTCAGCCTCCCGAGTAGCTGGGACTACAGGCATGCACCATCACACACAGCTAATTTTAGTATTTTTGGTAGAGACGAGGTTTCACCATGTTGCCCAGGCTGATCTTGAACTTCTGGGCTCTAGCGGTCTGCCTGCCTTGGCCTCCCAGAGTGCTAGGATTATAGGCGTGAGCCACCATGCCTGGCCTATCCTTTTGTTTTTTGCCGATTATTTAGTCAATGCCATAGAATGTTGGGAATCCTTCTAGGTAATTAAGACCCTGGGCTCCCGTATGCAGTCTGCCCATTGCAGATACCAGCAGGTCTCATGGCCTGGTTCTGGTATTCTCTGGGCACTTAGCAGAACTGAGGTTACATGTGGGCCTTCCGATTGGGCTCTGGCATCTCATTTAGTTGTTTCCTTTGTAGGTCCTGTCTTACTGCGTTCCTACTGTCTCTATGTTCTCCTGCTTGCCATCAACGGAGTGACAGAGTGTTTCACATTTGCTGCCATGAGCAAAGAGGAGGTCGACAGGTGGGTAACCTAGCAGGTACACCTTTAATCATGGCCTTTAGCCAAAAGGAAGGAACTTGTCAAGCTTTTTGCTTTTCGTTCTGAACATGCATTTACAGATGGCTGTTTTAGAGGCAACACTTAGGCCACCAATGTGTGTTGCTTCCCTGGGATCTCTAGCACTGGCGGGTTCAGTAAGTGCTCCCCACCGTAGGGCTGGGAGGCAGCAGCTACTCTTTGCCTCCCTTTGTGGAGGGAGAAACATCAGCCCTGAAAGGTTATTTTAGTCCAGGTTTGCAGAGTCAGGCAGCAGACAAGCTAGATTTCCATTCCTCCACCTCCTTGCTTACCCCGGAAGAGTGGTCCTCCAGTAAGTTACAGGAACTTCTTCAAGATGTAGATTCCGGCCGGGCGCGGTGGCTCAAGCCTGTAATCCCAGCACTTTGGGAGGCCGAGGCGGGTGGATCACAAGGTCAAGAGATCGAGACCATCTTGGTCAACATGGTGAAACCCCGTCTCTACTAAAAATACAAAAAAAAAAATAGCTGGGCATGGTGGTGCGTGCCTGTAATCCCAGCTACTCAGGAGGCTGAGGCAGGAGAATTGCCTGAACCCGGGAGGCGGAGGTTGCGGTGAGCCGAGATCGCGCCATTGCACTCCAGCCTGGGTAACAAGAGTGAAACTCCGTCTCAAAAAAAAAAAAAAAAAAAAAAGATGTAGATTCCTACCCCTGATAATCTGATTGGTCGGTCTTTGAGAATCTCAGGGATTCTGTGACACCTCTCCTGAGAAAAGCCCAAATGCACATATACATCTTACCATGATTTTTCTCAACTGCTGACTCCAGATCAGGATTCCTCTTAGAATCCCTGCCAGTGGTTCTTAATCCTGATTGTGAGTTAAAAATCCCCCCCTGGAGCTTGTTAGAAATGCAGATTCTTGGCCAGTCTCCTTCTGTCCCCTTCCCTCCCACCACACCATGATCTCAGCAGCCTCCTAGACATATGTGTGTTTTCTGAATGCTCCTCAGTGATTCTGCTGTGAGCCCTTCCTGGTTAAGTGCATTTGGCCCACACCCAAGGTCATCCACCTCTTGTGTACCAAATGCCAAAAAAAGTAAGGCAGTGTCTTAAGGCAACGCTAGAGGATGACAGTGAGGAGAAGAAAGGGAAACCGCAGAAAGGGCAGGTGTAGATGATGGGGGGACTGGCTCTCATTTTCCTACTACCTCTTGAAGCCAGGATCCCATGGGGGTTTTCATGCTGCCTCTATAATCCTGAGTGCTGGTGAGGGTCCTCAGAGGCCTGGCCATGGAGTGGGATGGGGAGGGAGTGTCTCAGCTGGGAACTCTTCCCCTTTCTCTATGTGCGTCTCTTCCTGGGCTGGCTCAAAAAAGCTTGGGAACTTTGTTTGCTACACAAGTGGCTGAGAACTAGAGTCCAGACCAGCAGGTTCAGTCCAGACTGATGAGATTCTCCTAGGAATTTCTGGTCCCCCTGCAGCCCAGCCGAATTAGAATCTGAGAAGGCTTGAGCCAGGGAATCTGTTTATTACACAGATCTAGGCAATTCTGATTCTAGGGCTTTGGAAACTGCTCCCCCAGACCAGCTGTCACAGTAAAAATGACTGTGAGCACTGTGACCCAGGTCGCACTTAGGTATGTGTGACTGAGACATGAGTTCACAAAGCAGGAATGCACATGACACACTGATGCTTTCTGGGCTCTCTTCTATTTTGTTTTTCAAAATTGCCAAGCCATTATCCTCTAAATTGATTTCCCAGACTACTAGTAGGTCACAACCCATAGTTTTAAAATAGTGGTCTAGACATGGTTTTTGCCTCAGATAGTTAAGTTTATAGCTGTGGAGTAGAACTGCTTTGAATCTATCCTCTTCTTTCCCCATGGATGAAAAAGTCTATTTCAATTTAACTTTGAAAATATAATGTTTTTATTTGAAACCTGCTTCTAACATTGAATAACTTAAAAATATAATTTGAAACATGTGAAATGAGGCACTGTGTCAGAATGGAAAGAGCAGGACTAGGAGTATATGTCTTTGAAGGGAATTTTGTTATGGTAACTTAAGTGTTAGTGTTGAAGGGGTAAATCAACACCAAACTCATTTAAAATGTTTTTATAAATTGCAACCAAATTGTGTAAAGGAATATGGATAGTGGATGGTTGCTTTCTTTTCTCTTATATTGTATCGAACCAAAAGAAAGAACTGTTTGTTAGTTGTAATGGAATTTTGATAGTATATAAACATCTGGAAAATTGTTTTCATGGTATTAGTCAAGACAGAGAATAAACAAAGCCCAGAGTAACTTCTAGTACAGTTCCCATGTAGGGAAACTCACCTTCCCGAAGAGTAAAATGTGACATTAAGTGCAGTTTTCAGACATGTATGAAACACAACAGCTCCATTTCTCTCTGAGCCCCTGCTCCCAGCACCTGTGGCCCTGGTCTGAGCACATGGAGCACCTGGGCTCGTCACAGACATCAGCATTTTTTTAACCCTGTGAATTTTAACAGATATAAAACTCTAGCAATGATTTTTATGGAATTGGACAGCTTAGTTAACTGTTAGAATCAATTATAATAACTTTACACTGGACGTTTCAGATTCTGAATAGAAAAAAAGCAGGCTTTTTACTTAATCCACTTCAGGTTAAGCAGTGTTTTTCGGAATGGAAATAGAGCATTTAGGCCAGGCATGGTGACTCACACCTGTAATCCCAGCACTTTGGGAGGCCAAGGCAGGCGGATCACCTGAAATCAGAAGTTCAAGACCAGCCTGGCCAACATGGTGAAACACCATGTCTATTAAAAATACAAAAATTAGCGGGGCGTAGAGGTACGCCCCTGTAATTCCAGCTACTCCGGAGGCTGAGGCACAAGAATCACTTGAACCTAGGCGGTGGAGGTTGCGGTAAGCAGAAATCACGCCATTGCACTCCAGCCTGAGCAACAGAAGACTGTCTCAAAAAAAAAAAGAGCATTTGGTTGGATATGAAATATTAAAACATCCTTTGAATTACAGTGTCCTTTTTTTTTTTTTTTTTTTTTTTAAGACAGTCTCTCTCTGTGACCCAGGCTAGAGTGCAATAACATGATCTTGGCTCACTGCAATCTCTGCCTCCTGGGTTCAAGCAATTCTTTTGACTCAGCCTCCCAAGTAGCTGAGATTACAGGTGCACCACCATACCCAGCTTTTTTTTTTTTTGTATTTTTAGTACAGACAGAGTATCACCATGTTGGCCAGGCTGGTCTCGAACTTCTGACCTCAGGTGATCTACCTGTCTCAACCTCCCAAAGTAGGGTGCATCTCCAATGCCCTGGGATTACAAGCGTAGTTCTAAGGTACTGGTCATAGGCATGAGCCACCATGCCCAGCCTGGTTGCTTTTTTAAATAACCTCATAATATATATAGAATCTGATTGATGGATTTTTCATTATGCCTTGTTGAAGAATTTTTGTTGTTAATTTTTGTTGTTAATCTAATTTTCTTTCTTTGATTTCACAAATACTTTTTTTTTTTTTGAGACAGAGTTTCACTCTTGTTACCCAGGCTGGAGTGCAATGGTGCGATCTCGGCTCACCGCAACCTCCGCCTCCTGAGTTCAAGCAATTCTCCTGCCTCAGCCTCCTGAGTAGCTGGGATTACAGGCACGCGCCACCATGTCCAGCTAATGTTTTGTATTTTTAGTAGAGACGGGGTTTCACCATGTTGACCAGGATGGTCTCGATCTCTTGACCTCGTGATCCACCCGCCTCGGCCTCCCAAAGTGCTGGGATTACAGGCTTGAGCCACTGCACCCGGCCTCAATTTCACAAATACTTTTAACCATCTGCTCTCTAATAGGCATTGTTTTAAGCTCTAGGAATACACCAGTAAATAAGGTAGATGGGATCCCTGCTCTCCTAGAGCTGACAATGGGGAGACGGATAGCAAACAAGTAAATTAATAAGAAAATGTGATGTACTGAGAATGAAAACAGGGGTATATAGTGAGTGGTAGGGGCCCTTTAGATTGCATATGCTGGGCAGGCCCCTATAGCACAGCGGCATTTAGGATGACCAAGAAGATGGTCTAAGATGGGGGCAGAGCCTTCTAGGCAGGGGGATCAGTTGTGTAAAGGCTCAAGATTAACAGCTCATTTGCCTGATTTGTTGGGCTTTGAGTGCCAAAGCAGACTCCTTAACTGTCAGATGAAGGATGAGTGCGATCATCTCACTTTGGCACATGAGACATCAGTGCCGTCCTTTTCTTGGCTGTGAAGGCTCCATTGTATGGCTGTGCCTTGATATGTTCAACTAGCACCTGCTCAGGGCTACTTCAGGTGGTGCTACAGTTGATATCCTTGACCATCCATCCTTTTTTTTTTTCTTTTTTTGAAACAGGATCTCACTCTGTCTCCCAGGCCGAAGTGCAGTGGTACAATCATAGCTCACTACGGCCCCGACCTCTTAGGCTCAATTGATCCTTCCACCTCAGCCTCCTGAGCAGCTAGGAGTACAGGTGCATACTTCCATGCCCAGCTAATTTTTGTAGTTTTTTTAGAGATGGAGTCTCTGGGCACCATGTTGCCCAGGCTGGTCTCCAACTCCTGGGCTCAAGCAATGCACCCACCTTAGCCTCCCAAATGCTAGAATTACAGGCATGAGCCACTGTGCCCGGCCAATCCATCTTTTAATAAGCCTGATGTTAAGGCCAGGATCTTCTTGAGACCATGGAGAAATGAGTATTCATAAATAATTTACTGTTTATGTTAACCAAATCTTATATGATAGTCATTTTGTCACTTATTAATAATTTTGCTTTGATTTAAAAAGTGATATTTTGATTGCATTTTTAAAATTCTCATTTTTTTCCTGAAGTGAATTATGCCTTTAAGGCTATAGATTTGTGAATTATGGAAAGCTCAGCAGCTGCAGAGCCCTCTTCTAGTGACAGACAATGGACCCCATCCTCAGCTCCTCTCAGATGGCCATACCAAAGAGGCTGTGCTGTTGAATGCGTCTCTGCTTGAATTAGCCTGAATTAACTATTGGTTTTATTCACTAGTGTTATTTTACTTGGAGTTGGGGAAGAATGGCTGAAAGTTTATGAATCTATGACTTAAACTCCAAGGATTGGTATAGTAGACGTTTCTGAGATAGCTTCTGAAAAATAGGTTACATATCTCTGCTGCTTTGTGGAAAAGAGGCCAAAGTACTGGTCTATGATGGGAACCGCTTGAGTGGCTTGTTCTGAAGTTGACCATTCTGATCACTCTTTAGTAGTGAGAAAACTTCCCCTGTGAGGTACAGGCTCTTGTACTTCATTAAAAGAGACTCTCTCTGGACTAAGAAGCAAATAAACTCCCTCTCTGGACCTCTCTCCTGTTGGAGTACGTGTGTGTGTGTGTGTGTGTGTGTGTGTGGTATTTTTACCAAGCGTATCTCCAAAGCACCTTGGTCTTCATCAGCAAAGACCTATACCTGGGCATTTGGGGGATGCAGTGGCTTGTCTTCTTTTTGCTTTTTGGCAGAAACATGATCTCACTGTGTTGTATGGGCTGCTCTCAAACTCTTGGCCTCAAGCAATTCTCCTGCCTCAGTCTCCAGTGCGCTGGGATTACAAGCGTAGTTCTAGGGTACTGGCCAAGTTCTAGGACCTAGTCCCAGACCTGCAGAGTCAGGAACTCAGGCAGTGAGGCCAGCCATGAGCTTTTGCTGTTTTTTTTTTTTTTTTTTTTTTTTTTTTGAGATGGAGTCTTGCTCTGTCACCCAGACTGGAGTGCAGCGGTGTGATCTCAACTCATTGCAACTGCCACCTCCCAGGTTCAAGTGATTCTCCTGCCTCAGCCTCCCAAGTACCTGGGACTACAGGTGCATGCCACCATCCCCAGCTAATTTTTTGCATTTTTAGTAGAGACAGGGTTTCACCATGTTAGCCAGGCTGGTCTCAATCTCCTGACCTCGTGATCCGCCTGCCTTGGCCTCCCAAAGTGCTGGGGTTACAGGCATGAGCCACCGCGTCTGGCTGCCATATGCAGTTTTAAGTCATTACTGTTTTTTGAGACAGGGTGTTGCTCTGTTGTCCAGGCTAGGGTACAGTGGCATGATCATAGCTCACTGTAGCCTTGAACTCCTGGCCTTAAGCCATCTTCTCTCAGCCTCCCAAGTAGCTGGGATGGCAGGTATGCATCATGGCTAATTTTTTAATTCTTTGTAGAGACAGGGTCTCATAATGTTGCCCAGGCTGATCTGAAAGTCTTAGGCTCAAGTGATCCTTCTACTTCAGCCTCCCGAGTAGCTGCAGGTGTGTGCCACCATCCCTGGGTAATTTTTAATGGTTTTTGTAGAGACGGGTCCACTAGCTATGTTGTCCACGCTGATCTCAAACTCCTGGGCCTCAGGCAATCCTCCCACCACCTCAGCCTCCCAAAGCACTGGGATTACAGGTGCACAGTGTCTTTCTTACCACCCTTCGTGTGCAGAACCTGGGTGGTGGCCTCTGAGGTTTCCTAACCCAGCAGACATGGCTTGAGGATGTCAAAAGTTTTGTTCCCTCAGTGGCTATATACTTAAGAGTTCCTGCTTGGTGCGAGGCAGAAACCAGAGGCTGGAGGATTCTGTTCTTGGCTGTACAAGCATTTTGGCGGACTATGGTAGCTATTTTGTGTTTGCTGAGAATCTGTTTTCTTTGTTGAGAACTGAAGATAACTAAGTGATGTTCCACTTTGAAATCAGAGAAATGCAAGGAGTAGTATAATCCATTCAGCACCAGGGTTCACAGAGCTCTAGAGATACGTAGAGTGGGAGTGAGGCTATGTAAGAGTCTGAAAAACAGCAGAGGCGATCCAGGCTGTGGTTTCAGTTCCCATTTTGTTTTGGAGGCCAGTTATTTGCTTTGAATGGGGTCTACTGCCCAAGGTTGCTGGGTGCTGCATTTCCCAAGGGCCATGTGTGTTCATTCACCAGTGTGTCCCCAGCACTTTTCACAGGGCCTGCCACACAGTTAGCTTCCAATACATAATTATTATCTGGTCACATTCTTGTATATCACTTTGAGGACTTGGGCTGAACAGAGTTTTTATGTGTTTTGATCCCAAAGTGTCACTTAACTAACCAATTATTATCTTCAAAACACATACAACTCTTGAGTTGTTTCTTACCCTTCTGTTCAGGGTAAGGGGACAGGGACATTTCCATGGGCTCCATGTAGCATTTGATGTTATGAAACCCTGGATTCTGGGAACTCAGGTTCTTTCTGTGAGCTGATGTTTGTGGTTGCCGTTTTCGTAGCGGCCTTGTCCGGGGCGAGGTCTCCACTGCCCTGCTTTGCCTGTCTCCTTCTCCCAGGTACAATTTTGTGATGCTGGCCCTGTCCTCCTCATTCCTGGCGTTATCCTATCTCCTGACCCGTTGGTGTGGCAGCGTGGGCTTCATCTTGGCCAACTGCTTTAACATGGGCATCCGGATCACACAGAGCCTTTGCTTCATCCACCGCTACTACCGAAGGAGCCCCCACAGGCCCCTGGCCGGCCTGCGCCTGTCACCGGTCCTCCTTGGGGCATTTGCCCTCAGCGGTATGGTCACTGCTGTTTCGGAGGTGAGAGTCCCTGAGCCATCACGCCGCATGCTTCTGTAGCTGCCCCGCTGTCCCTCCCACTAGGCCTCCCCTTCCTGCCCTGCCTGAACCCAACTGGACAGGTGTTTGGCTCCCCCGTACCCTCCCCAGGCCTCTAGGGTAGCATCTTTTGATAGATGTGACAAGATAATGTTGCCAGTGGGGAGAGAATGGGCCTGCAGTATGGCTGTCATGCTTTTCATCTGACTTAGAATCCGGAACCATAGCTGCCTTCCCTGACTGGTCCCAGAGGAGGGAGGCACAGACTGAGGAATGGGCACCAACAGTGGTTTCTTTACCCAGGTGTTCCTCTGCTGTGAGCAGGGCTGGCCAGCCAGACTGGCACACATTGCCCTGGGGGCTTTCTGTCTGGGAGCAACGCTTGGGACAGCATTCCTCACGGAGACCAAGCTGGTCCATTTCCTCAGGACTCAGTTAGGTGTGCCCAGACGTACTGACAAAACGACCTGACTCCGGGGGAGCCTGGACACCTGAGATACCTGGACCAGCTATGGGCAGTTCTGGGGGTGGAACACATATCCTGTGTAAGAGCCCCACTGAGGGCTCTGCAGCAGAGTGACAGCAGCCCCGGAGGTGAGGCGCCAGAGGGAGCCACTGCATGAGACACTTGGGTTCATTCAGAATCTGAAATGTAGAGGAGGAGTTTCATTTTTAAGTGAAGGCCAAAAAGCCCTTTAAAAATAATACAGTTTTTTAAAAATCATTTTATAATGATCAGCATTTTCTCTTTCACTAATGTACTCATTCCTTTTGGTGTGATTGGCCTTTGGAGTTGCATACTCCAACAAACTAAGTCTTATTTGTAAATTGTTAATAATCATCTGGCCCAGAAAAAGAGATGCAGCCATTTTACCTTTCACAGGAATATGGAACTTCTGTAAAAGAGAGAGAGAGATGATGTTATGCACCAGATGAAAATGGTGTGGCCCTGGAGTTGTGGTTTTCTGTGTGTCAACACTGTGGTCTGGGTTTTTAGAGAAGGAAAAATGCTACTCAGTGAGAAATTCAAGAAATGAAACTAGGAAGGTTTTCAGATCACATTTCCCAGAGTGAGTTAGGGGGAATCTGGCCTGTCGTGATCACACTGTTCCCTGCTGCCCCAGGTCAGCACATACTTGACCCAGAGCGGGCTCTCAGGATTTATTGATTGAAGGGTGGGTGAAAGCTAGCTGGGGACTCCTGACCTGGCCACCTGCAAGAGGTGGACTTTGAAGCAAACTGTGATCCAGCTGAGCCACTTTGTCTCTGAAGGGAATGCTGCTTTGCAGCTTTCTGTAAGTTCTCACATGGGAATTGCACTGGTGGCAGATAAGGTGTAACAGACGTGCTTTTTTAATCTTCAGAATAAGACAGTCAGGGTGAATTCTATGTGACAAGTATTGCTGAGTCAGGCCCCTCCCGCCGACCCATTATTTCCAGCACTGTTCAAGACAAATGAATTCCAGCCCCAGGGCGAGGGTGGCGGCCGGGGGTCTGGTGCTCCAGGCTACACTGTGAGCCCAGGCGTTCTGCAGCCTGCACCCTGCAGGTGAGATCATGAGCAGTGTTCTGGGGTATAATGTATTTCTTTTTTTTTTTTTTTTTTTTTGAGACGGAGTTTCGCTCTTGTTACCCAGGCTGGAGTGCAATGGCACGATCTCGGCTCACCGCAACCTCCGCCTCCTGGGCTCAGGCAATTCCCCTGCCTCAGCCTCCCGAGTAGCTGGGATTACAGGCACGTGCCACCATGCCCAGCTAATTTTTTGTATTTTTAGTAGAGACGGGGTTTCACCATGTTGACCAGGATGGTCTCGATCTCTCGACCTCGTGATCCACCCGCCTCGGCCTCCCAAAGTGCTGGGATTACAGGCTTGAGCCACCGCGCCCGGCCTATAATGTATTTCTTTTTCATTACTGTGTTAATTCCTTTTAGATATGATCATCCTTCAGAACTTCATGCACAAACTATAACTAGGATGTTAATAATCCTCTCATTCAGTGCCCCGAACTTCCTGTGTCTACGCCTAGAGAGAGGGCCAGTAAGGGCAACTCCTATCATACATTAATTTGCATGTATTTAAATCTGCTTGCCCAGAGCCAGTACCCAGGGGCCAAGGATCAAGACCTGTCAGTACCCCAAGACCCCGGCCAGTCACCCTGGCAGGGTTTTATCTACTCAGAGAGAGAACGCTTTGCACTAATTGGGAGAAAAGCAGCTAAATGCAAGGTGTCCTGAGCAATTAGAGGACCTCCAAAAGCGTGGCCTCAGTCATGCCTTCATAGGGCAAGGTCAGGCCAGCTCAGAAAAATGGATGGTCCTGTGGGGTCAGGTGGAGCACACATGGAAGGCAGTCCTCTCTCCCTCCCTCCCATGTTCTTTTTCTGTCCCTGGAGTGCACAGAAAGGGGCCTTCAGTCCTCATGAACTGTTCCTCTACCCTGCAGCTGCTGATCACCCTCCCAGGACCCTGCACCTACCCTGTGCCCACTTGACCCCAGACTTGAGCATGATCCTCATTCTACCTGCCTCAGAATTTTGATAGATGTGACAAGAGAATGTTGCCAGTGGGGAGAGAATGGACCCGTATGTAGTATGGCTGTCATGCCTTTTATCTGACTTAGAAGCTGAAACCATAGCTGCCTTCCCTGGCTGGTCCCAAAGGAGGAAGGCACAGACTGAGGAATGGGTTGCAAGTGAGAACGTGGCTTTCCAGGACCCACTCCAGGCCTTCAAGGTCTGTGTCTCCTGGGAGGAGGGCTCTGAGATTGGCTTTTCCGGCAAGCCCACGTGGCTGTGATGCCACCAAGGTTTGCGTGCCACATTGTCTTCCTTAGTGACAGGCCTGGGACCAGTCGTGCTCACGCCCACGGTGCCTGTTCTCTGCTCCAGGAACACAACTGCTGTTGCACAAGCAGCCTTGTGACTTCTTTAGCCTCTGGGAGCAGGACCCCCCGGATTATGCTTTCTCAGATTGAGAGAGGCTCTGTGTCTGAAGGCAGTGCTCACTGTTTCATCTCTCCCCTGCTGTTCGCCTAGCACTGCTGTCAGGGCCAGCTCCTCTTGAAAGACAGCCAGCTGGGAAGGTAGCCCAGGGCTTCTTCCTGTGTCCTGCTTCCCTGTGTGTAGGGAGAGTCCTGCTCACGGCTGCGTGTTCTCCCAGGACTGGCACCTGCCACCTGGGCTGTCTGCACTTTGACGGCTGGGCCTCTGCCGTTCTCTGCCTCTGGCGCCTCCTGAAGCTCAGCTGGCCAGGCCTCTGGCATTTCCCCTGCTAGACCCTCTAGAGCCACGACTGTTGCCTCAGGAAGTTTGCATACCTGTGGGCCAGCCTGCCTCACTTTACCCAAGCGGATTTGGGGAGCAGAAATCACACTTTTGTCTTTAAATACTACTTAAAATATAGTGAGGCTACTTATCCATGGAAACAAGTCTCTGAGGTACAACCTTTATGAAAGGAAGGAATATCGCTGACTTGCTGTGCTCTTCTGGCCACGTGTGAATGTTGATCATTTCAGATTTGGCTTGGGGTCTCTCAGTGAGAAGCTGCTGCTGTGCTGTTTAATGCTGACCTGACTGCGACTTCTGGAGGTGCTCCTCTGCCCTGTTCCCAGCCACTTCCCAACCTGATTCAAGCAGGGCCCCTCCTTCCTCCTGTCTTTCTTTCTTTCTTTTTCCAGAGACAAGGTCTTAGTCTCTCCTCTCACCCAGGCTGGAGTGCAATGGGTGTCATCATAGCTCACTGTAGCCTCAAACTCCTGAGCTCAAGTGATCCTCCTGCCTCAGCCCCACAAAGTGCTGGGATTCCAGACCAACCATTTTTTTTCTTTAATCATGCATTCCTGTTACTAGTTTCATATCAGTCCCCTGGTTTGAAAAGAAATACAATGTTTTCTTCATATTTTTGTAAAGACTGTTCTTCTTGCATACCCCTTCTCCCTCCAAAAGGAACAAAAATTCTTCAGTTTCATAAGGAGGGTGGGTAAGTCACTTGAGGATGTGAACTTCGGGTATTCCTTAGCTGGAACGTTTCTCCCTCCATTGATGCTGTAGCTGGGACTGGGATTCTTGACTTTGGAAAAGGGACAGTGTCCTGGCCTATGCCACTGAACCTCCTGTCTGGAACTAAAAGGCCTGGTGTCTCCTTTGCTCCTCTCCCTGTCCTGCCTTAAGCTGTGTTTCTCATTGTTTGTGGGACTTTTCTCTCCTATCTTCTCTGTCTGGCCTGGTCTTCGTTTTGTTCATTTTGTATTGTTTTGTTTAGTTTATATATATTTTTGAGATGGAGACTTGCCCTGTCATCAGGCTGGAGGGCAGTAGTGCTATCTCGGCTCACTGCAACCTCTGCCTCCCAGGTTCAAGCAATTCCCCTGCCTCAGCCTCCTGAGAAGCTGGGACTATAGGTACATGCCACCACACCCAGCTAAGTTTTTGTATTTTTAGTAGAGACGGGGTTTCACCATATTGGTCAGAATGGTCTCAATCTCCTGACCTTATGATCCACCCGCCTCAGCCTCCCAGAGTACTGGGATTACAGGTGTGAGCCACTGCACCCGGCCTGTTTTGTTCGTTTTTGTTTTTGTTTTTTGTTAAACAGCCATTCCTTGAGAAGTCAGGACTAGTTTCAGTGCAGAGTAGGGCAAGTGTGTGGTTTCGGGGGCCTAGGACAGCCCCTTCACTCTAGTATCATCCTCGATCAGGTGATAGAATTTCCTTTTACCTGGTTCAAAGGCTGTTATTCCAGAATTAGAGAGGATACTGGAAATTCCAATCCCAGAGAGGACTCAGTAACTCATTCACACTAAGATGTAAAATAACCCCATCAAGATTTATTTCCCTTTTGTTCTCTGGTGGGAGGAAAAAAGAAAAAAAAAAAAAGAATTATATCCCAGGCCAGGCGTGGTGGCTCACGCTTATAATCCTGACACCCTGGGAGACTGAAGTGGGAGGATCGCTTGAGCCCAGGATTTTGAGACCAACATAGG